TTACAAGAAATTTTAACATATTGTTATTATAGTAGATGTACAATATGTCGCATATTGTAAGGATTTTCAACAATAGAACAACATTACCATTAAAGGTAAATGGCTCAAGTTTGTTCGGGAAAAAGTGATTTTTCGTATAGTTAAGATACATAACAACACCCTTGTTCTATTGTAGATTTCCCCATTTACCATAGATTCTATTGTGAAAATACTAAATTCTATGGTTATTTTATTGCTGTAGACAGTAAGATTTATTGTGAATACAATAAATTCTATTATTGGTTACAATACATTTTATTGCACCTCTATGGTTCTTTTTTAACGGGTACCTCTATGTAACTACCAACCGGTGCACAGTGGTTCCTGGCTGACCAAAACCTCAAAACTTAAAGTTGATATTTTTTATTTCAATATTTTTTTTATCATTTTAACATAGGGGAAATGACGGCTTCGGCATGCCAGACTATTTTCGGCAACCCAAATTGAAACACTATTTTCACTGGATTTTCTTACGAAAACACTTCGCTGAATGCATGCAAACGATTATTTATGCTTTCAGCTTCAATTTGACTATATTTTACCACTGAGAAAAAGCAATCTAGCAGGGTTTTCTTGAAATGAAACACACGCACTACAAATTGTAGCTGATTTAGAGTTGCCGATAATAGAACAGCAGATTTACATGCAGTTCAAATAGAACGGTTGCCGAAGAAAAACTGGTTGCCGACAATACTCGCTCTCACTAGAGAACATTGGAACTTTGTAAAAGCGTTTCAAAACAGTTTTTGACAATTCTTTCGACTGAAATTGTTAGAGCAGCTGGCAGCAAAAGATTGTAAACAAACCAATACTGCATATGTGTGCGTTCCTTAGAGAAAAAGGCTATAGAAAGAAGGTTGCTGCTTAGGTTGCCGAGAATACGTAAATTCCCCTATATACTCTTATCTTAAATTAAATGATTTGTGCAGTTTTGTTGATCACATTTTTTTTTGAAAAAAATCGTAATGTATATTGTTACTGTTTTGCTCATATATAGCAAAAAATAATGAGTTTATCAACTTGGTTGCTTCAGAAGAAATGTTCCTGTTCTGCACTGTTTTAAGGGACAGTTTGTAATAAAAACTTAGCAAAAATATATATTTTCACATTTAGACTAAACAAAACATATGACAGACACATCCGCCCACTATCCTTTAGTAACCAAAAGATAGCTAGAAAAGTTAGCTTTCAGGTAGGATTTAATGTGTTTTGTGATTTTTTGCGAAAGATGTTGAAATCAGGAATAACAAGTAAAGTGTTCTTTGGAAAATATCCGCTTCTAAGTTATATAATCTGCGGTGTATACTGTAGCAAGCTTCACAATGCCTTTTTCAAAGCACACCAACACGCACACACATACACACACGCACCATATGTCTATATCTTATGGTTCATGAGTTATGATTTTTTTAAACAAGCAGGTTAGGGTGGCCCCTAGACAATCTTCTTTAAATATCTTTTTATACCTTCATTCCTCGTGAAATTTTTATACTAGACACTTTAAGAACTTTTTATGACGCATATTTTTGAAATTAAATTAAATGCTTTAAACAGAAAAAGCTATTGCTGATTACCAAAAATGAAGAAAAAACGATGTTTCCAATGAATCTAAATGTTTGAAAATCGGTTTGCTCCATTTTGATATATTGACAATTGTAAAGAGCCATTTTTCGAAGAACTTTCTAATCAAAAAAGATAGTAACCTAGTAGCTTGAGCAAAAATATGCGTCGTTAAAAGATCTAAATGTAATCAGAACAATGTGTTTACGAGAAATTGAAGCATGACAAGATATTCAAAGAAAACCGATTTTAGTGTCCACCCTAACTCATGAACGATAAGAGATAAACACGTTGTGTATTCAACAAAATTGCTTTGAATTGATAGTTCTACAGCTGTTTAGAGCACTGCTTTGGTCTATCTCAAATAATTAAAAAGTTTGTATTTTTAATTCACCAATTTTATGGACCACCCTAATTTTACAAACATAAAGATTGAACAAAAAATATGAAGCAACTTTCCCTAAGAAACCATATACCTAAAACCGGCGGTTTGGGCGCAAACATTTTTGTCTTGCTAAATACGGCTTTGGGACCATTACACAACCATTGCACATTGGTTTTGGTCCTACTATACTCCTTTTTGTGACGTCTTGATTGTCAAGTTTTCTTCGTATAGCTAAAAAACATATATTTAAACTGTTTTTTTTTTGCCTATTTGCAACAATTTAGAGGTTTTGGCCAACTTTTGTTCTAAGGGGAACCACTGTGCGGTGGAAGCTAACGATTTTAAATTGGCTCATTACTTGACCAGCCTATTGGTCCCAAGCAAATCTATTAACGTACCCCATTCTAGTGGAAATTCTAGCACTACACTATGTTTGTTTTGATTCGCTATGAATGTTTGACAGATAAAATGAGGGGTTCGTTTCGAGGGGTAAATCCGTTAGCTTGGGACCGAAGAGAGTACCAGAACTGAGCCAAAAAGTTGAGCACGTTTCTTCGCGACCTTCTGGTCTTAGAGTTATCTCTATGGTACTACCACCTGGTGGAAACTAACGATTTCAAATTGGCTCACTACTGGACTAGCCTATTGGTCCCAAGCAAATCACCCAACAAACAATTTGAGTTGTTCAACAGCCAAATAAGCTATTTTTTAGCTGAAGAAGCTTGTTTTTGCCTGAATAAGCTCTTATTCAACATTCAATGTTTGTTGGACAATTAACGGACCCAGGAACGGACCCCATTCTAGTCGAAATTCTAGTACTACACAATGTTTGTTTTGATTCGCTATGAAAGCTTTACAGATAAAATGAGGGGTTCGTGGATTTTCCTATGTTTCGAGGGGTGCATCGATTAGCTTGGGCCGAAGAATGTACCAGAGCTGAGCCAAAAAGTTGAGCACGTTTGCTTAAATCGTGTAAGAAAACGTGTTTGCAAACTAACTGTTATTATTTCGGTATAGATCGGAGATGTTTTCATGGTAAATTATGCATAACAAGTTTGCACCCACAGGTAGAGGTTACCTCCTGCGCAGCTGCATTTTTCGGAAAATGGTGAATATGTGCGATTTCCACTAGGATGAAAAAGGAAATTAAGTGAATTTACTTAGGAGAGATTGTATCATGCTGGTGATAATGCAGAAATGGTTGAAGAGGACGCCAATATTCAATAAATGTTCATTTTGGCCTTTTTTAGGTAAACATATTGATACTCACAATTTTCGACGGAAAACGCAACGAAACTTGATTTACCCAACACGCACCACCCGCATAAACGATAACCAACAACCTATTCGGGTTATCATCCCAACAATATGTGGTACGGTGGCACGATTTGTGGTATCGTTCATGTATGGTGCTCGTTTATTAGGGCATACTGTAAAATGGTGCTCGAGGGTTTATAAAGTGATAACAAGATGACAAATCATCTTTATTTTTAGTAATTGAGCAAATTACTTCTGTTTACATCATATGTACGATGCAGCATTGATGGAGCTGTGAAATTAAATGAATATATCTTATGAAAGTTCATCTGGAAAAGTCAAAGATGCACATCAGTCTGATTGTGAAAACATTTTCTTCTTCAATTCGAATGTTATATTGGAAGGATTTTACGCAGGCTTGATAAAAATTATGATTTAATGCTAATTTTCACGAATTTTATATGCAGTCTGTCAACATTATCATCATCATGCAGTGGCGACATCTGCGTCGAGCTTTTACGGCAATCTTCCAATCTTTGAAATTTTATCAGTGTATATTAACGATATTAACTGCATGAAGAAGATGCCTTCTACCGCTAAGTGCGCTCAGTGTTCACCACTTTCTGATCTGAAGAGATCTAAAGCTCTCCATTAGGTACTGCAGCGTGACGTCATTAGGTACTGCAGCGTGACGTCATAAATGAACTCAGTGTTAATCGGCTGAACCTTTTTGACAGTTCAGTGGTACTGTTTACAAGCACTTAGTCGTTTTTTTCGAAAAAAAATTTCTTAATTTTTTGAATTTTAACTTGAAAATTGTCGAGGAACAGCGCGTTGCAAGGATGTTGCTCGTGAACATTACAGAAATGCTGTTAACATCTCACTGCAGTCTGAAAAATTATCGAGAAAATCCACCCAAGAAACAATCGACTAAGTCCACGTAAACAGTACCACTAAACTGTCATCAGATTGAGGTTAACCCCGACGGTGCAAAACCTAATTCTGTACCGAGATGCATACCTGGCATATTTCTGGATCAGCAATTAAAAAGGGCCCATCAACATTTGTAAACAAACCGTTCCAAAGCCCTTTACTCACAAAGCAAAGGCCACTCACGCAAACCAACACCATCATCGGATAGGGGAAACTTTCACCTACACGATGATGGTGTTGGTTTGTGTGGGCGGCCTTCGATTTGTGAGAAATGGGCTTTGGAACGGTTTGTTTACAAAAGCTGATGGGCTCTTTTCTATTGTTGATCCAGATTTGTTTGTGTGCATAAATTCAGTACCGTTTACACTAATGATATTAAAACGAATTTTGTCTTGAATTAGGTTTTGCACCGTCGGGGTTAACCTCGACAGTTCACTGGTACTGTTACGTGATGACAGTTCACTGGTACTGTTTACGTGGACTTAGTCGATTTTTTCTTGGGTGGATTTTCTCGATAATTTTTCAGACTGCAGTGAGATGTAAACAGCATTTCTGCAATGTACACGAGCAACATCCTTGCAACGCAATGTTCCTCGACAATTTTCAAGTTAAAATTCAGAAACTTTAGAAATTTTTTTTCGAGAAAACGACTAAGTGCTTGTAAACAGTACCACTGAACTGTCAAAAAGGTTCAGCCGTTTAACACTGAGTTCATTTGTGACGTCACGCTGCAGAACCTAATAGATCTGCGGATTTGAGACAGTGTTTTAGTTGACAGTTTACGCAGCGTCGGTTATTTTGTGAATTTTTGTTTTGATATTTTTAGACATGCTCCCATGTTAGTTTTCCAACAAAATAATTGATGATACTTATATTTGATGTGTGATACCTAATTCAACTAGAGAAACATAGCTTCAGAATGGCAGCAGCTCGCGAACGTCGCTCGAATGCAGGTAACCGCATTGCTAAACTCCTGGACGAAGAAGAGGACGAATTTTACAAAACATCGTATGGAGGATTTAGTGAAACTGCCGATGATCGTGATTATATGTACGTACCTACTTAGGGATGGTCCATTAATTATGTCACGCAAATTTGGCCCATTTTCAACCCCCCCTCCCCCCTTTGTCACATTTTTTGTATGGACCTTAATTTTTTTTTGTATGGCTCGTCACAGTTTTCAAAACCCCCCCTCCCCCCTAAATGTGTGACATAATTAATGGACGACCCCTTAGTAACTGGTAACTGATTGTAAGTAATATTGCCTATACTTTTTTACGTAGTCAGAGAAACGACGATGAGGAGGATATCATCGATTCAGACTTCAGTATAGATGAAAATGACGAGCCGGTTTCGGATCAGGAGGAGGAAGCGCCTAAACGGAGGAAAAAAGTTGTCACAAAAGCGTACAAAGAACCGGTCAAGAAGAAAACTCCCGTCAAAGCTACCAAGGAAGCGAAGCACAAACCCGAGCGGCAAAAATCACCCAAAAAGAAAGACAAATGTACCTTTACGGTGTTGGACTCGGGTCGAAAGTCGTTCCGTAAATCCACTGCAGCTAAGACCGCTGCCACTCAGAGTCGCATGAAGCAGCGGGTTGAAGCGGAGAAACGTAAGCCGAAGGTTGTTAAAGTGGAAGAATACATACCTACGCAAGAGGAATTGTTAGAGGAAACGGAGATTACCGAGAAGGAAAATCTAAAGTCACTCGGTATGCATTGAAAAAATATTACATCCGATCAATCTTAACTAGCTTGGCTTATTCATAGAAACATTTCGCAAAATGGAGCTGGAGAAGAAGAAAACTCGACCCACAAAACGAGTTTTCACGGGTCCTATAGTAAAATACCAATCGTTTACCATGCCATTGGTTGAGGAAGTTTCTCCTAACAAGAGTGCTTCATCGGAATCTCCGACCAAAATGGAAGTCGATGATTTGGAGGAAACTAAAGAGAAAAGGTCAGTAATTTTGCTTATTTTTGACAAGAGTTGATATATTGACTTTTTTCCTTCCAAAAGTATTAAAGAAAAACAGCGCAAAGGTAAAAGGACGTCATCCAAAGTAGAAGTCAGGGGACGATGCGAACGTACCTTTATTACGTTTGACAATGACATAGACGATACCCTGTTTAGTAGCTACTTTCCCAAACCATTGAAGCGGGAAAGACGTAGCCAGATTTGCGCCATAACTCGTCTTCCAGCGCGATATTTTGATCCGGTTACTCAGCTGCCCTACCGGAACCTGCAGGCATTTAAAATTCTGCGTGAGGCATACTACCAACAGTTGGAGGATAGGGGTAATCCGGAGAATCTGGATGTCAGTAAGTGGCTCGATTGGCGTAAAAAGATCAAGGAATTTCGCCTGAAGAGTTTGAACAAAAATAGCTCACTCCTCGGTATGATCTCTTCCACGGGAAATACATAAATTTAGGATACGCGATTAAAAATGTTGATAGTCTTTTTTTGAATAGGATCGAATGAAATTTATGTCATCGTAAGTACCTACCTAGGTAATTATAAATTGTAGTTTAACTTCAAACACCTATATTTTTTTTTCAAAAGGGCTTGCGTACACATAAAAGCATGACCTATAATTATCTTCTTTTGGTTAGAACATTCACACAAGAACAAATACTGGTACATACAAGTTTTATTATTTCTCACTATTGTGCATAACATATTCAACGTCAACAGTTATTCTTCTGCTCTATCACATTAAAATCAGACTATCATGATGTTATGCTAGGGATTATTATTGTGTATCATTCCAGTGTATCATTTTGTATTTCATACAGTTACCTCCTGCAGTTGCCTGTGCAGTTTTAATGTGAGTGTCCCTATAGACAGGTTGCTTGGTGCATTGTTTTAGTGTTGCCAATATGTGCCAATATCAATACTGTTTTTAGTTTTATCACCATTCATTCCTAAATTGGATTAGGTATCTAAATATATGTTCACGGCCCATGAGAGTAGCTCAAAATTTATTTGAAATTGTCTCAAAATTACGAAAAGTGGGTTTAACCTAGAGAATGAGTAAAATTTTCATTGTTTTCCAAGAAAAGCTTCTTGAATCTGCGGAAAATCCAAATATATTTTACCCAGTCTATTAATCTACTCCTAGACTGACTAAAAAATTTGTTGATTTTCCTTATTCAAGTGGTTTTTCCCGGTAAAGTGAGGGAAGTTACTCACTTACTAAACGGCCACTGAGAATAACTAAGAGACAAAATTTCGTTTATTCAATTGTATGATAAATAAAAAAAACTATGTGCTCAGCGCAGAATTTTTTCCATAACTCTGAGTAGAACTGACTCTCTCTCTTTCTAGAGTTATTCTCAGTGGCCGTGTGGAAATACCCACTTTTTGCAAATTTGTGTTCGTGTAGCAAATACAGCAAATGAATCTAACTCATATTTGAGTCCCGTTTACTCAAATTCGCAAAAGCGTATATACGAGGTCACTCATAGAATGAGTAATTTTTTACTCACATATGAGTAAATCAGGGCTATTCTGCGCGGCGTGTGAGATGAAGTGACAATTGATTTGCACGGAGAGTCACCTCACCCGAGGTGACAATTGTCACTTCACAAGTGAGAGCGTGTCACCTCACCTCACACGCCGCGCAGAATAGGCCTGAATGTCACATACATATATGAGTGACATTTTGAGGAGATTTATTTGCCGTACAGATTAAATCAAAAGGCTGCTAAAGAAGTTACACAGTCGATGAAAACGAACCAAAACTTATTGAAAAATTCAAACTTTTTTTTTTTGGAATAAAGTGGTGCTTCATTACGAGCTTTTAATTTTATTCAAAAAGGAGTGAAAAATAAAACAAAAATGATTAAAATTTAACATCTAATGAGGAACAGCATATTCTCAAAAATGGTTAGTATTTCATAATGTTTGGGTGTTTTAAACGGCCATATATTTGAAACGCTTTCAGCCAATACCTTTTTCCTTATCAGTACGCAACCAAGCACTTCATAACGCTGTGTTACGATACGTTATGTTTAGTTTGTTCCTCAAATAAAATTGGGTTCTACTTTGTCGATGAGTCGGTAAAGTAGGAATATTGGAAGGATTTCTTATAGGATTTTCTCATATTTCATGTTTAGGTATGCATGTTGGCTAAAATTCTTAACAATAAATTATAAATATATAGAATGAACTGTAAACAGTCGATAGGCGTTTCTGATTTCAATCATTAATTGCTGGTCTTCAGTACTTAACAAGTTATATTGTTACAAAATGATCAAACTGCCCATGTCATGTTAATGTTAAACAACAAAAAAGGAAAACAGGAGATTTTTTGTAAACGCTCAATCTATACCTTAAAAGAATAACTATTTTAAAGGCTGGAGCATTAAAATTAAATCAATAGCATGAAAATGAGGACGGGGTCCGCTCTGAATGATAATTAAAATTCACTACTGCAGTCAACTCTTCACAACTCGATATCGAGCTTTAGAACCATAGTAAACATTAATTTCATGGCTACTGTGATAGCGATTTTCTATGGGATTGTTAATAAATAAACGAACTCTCTATAAGACTCGATAATTCTCTAATACGATGGTCCCTTGAATATCGAGTTGTAGAGAGTTCACTGTATAGTGTTCATGAGACAAATGGTATCGTAAATTACACGTCCTTTTTCCCATTTTCGGATGAAACGGATTTCAATTTTTTTTTCCTGTTGCCTGGAAAATTCGGTTTGTTTGAAAACGGGAATGAGAGTGATTACTAGTAACAAAACAGTTCTACAAATCATGTTATTTTAGGTGAAAGTTTAGGTATAGTTCCATCAGACAAGTGATGGTTGTAGGTTCTTTTCGGTGTGATTTGGGTTGGTTTGGTTGTTAGGTTACAATTTGGCAAACTGTGTACTTGTTAAGATCAGCTTGCGAGCAGAAATGGGTTTGTGGCATTTCGTGTGATTGGGGATGGATACTGGTTCAGCATTCCGAGTTGCCATCTTCGAAATCAGGGGCCTCATTTTGCAAGTCGAAACGACAAACTTTTTCATACATGCGTTCATACAAAAAATGCTTCGTTTCGATTTGCGCAATGAGGCACCGCATGTTAACAAACATTGATGATTGCAAAAATCACAAAAGTTATTGTGGAACATGAATATATGAAAATTTCACAAAGCTTTTCTGACAAAATTGTGAGAAAAAAAATCACTTACTCAAAACTTACTCAATATATTTTGCATTTCTTCAGGATTTCGAGTAAACTGAAAAGTAGGGAGGTATTTAGCAATGTCTTTTCAATACAACACGACATTGATTATTTCTAATTCTTTCAAACAAATATTTTGAAGATGAACATATATTTATGTGGATGCTTTTACTATTAATCTATTTTTAATTATTTATTACAGTAAGGTTTCTCCTTTCTTGCAATAAATCACAATTTCTATGAAAGTGCTCACTTAAATGTGTGATCCGGAAACGAAGGGCTTATTTATGAAACGAATTAAGTAAATTTCTAGGAGCCATGTTCTCTCGCCACGGTGGCCCTGTGACCGTTATGATCAACAAAATATATATTATGATCAACATAACAATTGTCTAAACTTTCACTACAAAACATTAAAAAACCTTTTGAAAGATAATGATTTTCTATTATTATTTTCAAATAGGGTTAGTGTGCTAGTTGCCTTATTTTAAATTTCACATTGTTTCATTCCTTTCGATATTGATTTCGATACAAAGTTAGAACATACATTTTGCCATAATTTTTCGGAAATAAAATCATGAAAATATATTTCAAGTTTGATTTAGGCCCTACTTAGTACCCCGAATACAACCTATAATCAAGGTTGCAAAGACTCATTTCAGCTAAAATAATGTTTTTCGGAATAATAAAACCAAAAGATGGTATGATGGCATGTTTTACTTGTAACTTACAAGAAGAGGTTACAAAGTATGCGTTGGAAACATAAAACCTGTAAATTTTGCTTTCTATGAGTCACAATCAGCGATTTGCTGATCGCTGAGTGAGTGAGTGAGTGAGTGAGTGAGTGAGTGAAAAATCGCTGATTGTGACTCTCATGAAGTGAAATAAACAGGTTTAATATGTCAAACACATTCTTTGCAACCTCTTCTTGTATCCTACCAATTTGATCATGGCATCTAATTATTTCATAATTTAGAAAAACATTGTTTTAGCTGAAATGAGTCTTTGCAACCTTGCCTATAATTCGTCCAATTTTACATTGCAAATGCTATGCAAAATTAGGTACTCGTATAAAACGTACATTCGTTATAAGTCAGGTAACACAGTAGTGCCAAAAAGTGGAACACTAGTGCCATAACTGGTGCACTAACCCTTTAGAAAAAATCATTTCTTATTTTATAAATGAATGTTGTTCAGTGCACAAGTGTACAAGATGAAGAATTTTGGATTGTGGATTGGATGAATCATGCCACTCGCACCGGAGACGAACCAGCCCAGGGCTGAAGGTCTCCTTAAAAAAGATATAAAAAATGCCACTCGCACAATTAAACATCTTAAACTGAACGTAGTTCAAAAAATACAAGAAAATTATGAAAAAATAACAATCTTCGAACAAAAGTTGAAAAAAATAACTATTAAAAGGACAATTGCATCGATAATGCTACGTTAATATAATAAAATTAACTGTTACAGAACACGCTAACCATTCTACCGTTGAAAACAATATCAATAAATACAATTAGAATTAAATAAAAATTAGTGGAAATTTTGATCAAAAATTAGCGTTAATACCTCATCAAATCGTAAGCGGTAATTGGTACATGTGACAAATTTTAGTTTTCAATTTATTTTGAATATATTTTTGCTGTTCAATTTTTTTTGAATATATTTCTCGCATAGCGTATAACTTACCTAACAAATGATGAAAACATATAAAACAAATTCAAAATTGGGCTTTTCCTGTGATTTGTTTAACTTTAACATTTCCTTTAATGAGCGGAAATTGGTACTCTGATGGTAGATGCCAATTGGTAGTGGCTAGTGTTGTTATCTCAAAATTGACGAAAATCCATATGAGACTGAAATGCGATAATAGTTGAAATTTGGATTCTTACCTACCGGCGAACGGGTCCTCCGAGCCGGAGCTGGTATTCACCGAAAACATGATTGCAAGTGATTTTGCAGCAGACAGTAGACTGCTTGACTTGGCCTTCGTAAGCAGCAATAGCGAAGTTAAGACATGTTTTAATTTGTTGAATGAAGCCGAACTTTTTGACTTCAATATAAGTAGAAATAGTAAACAGCTAACATGATTCACAGTCTGTGCAGCATAGCTGATGGTGTAGTAAAATAAATCAATTATAAATAAATTTTACTGCAATTTTTTGAGGAACAAATCAGGCTGTTATCCTGGTACTTTCAAATAGGAATTTACATGGTTTGGAGTTTTTCCACATTGTTTTTGTATTTTTTGAAACTACAATACAAAGAAACACTATTTGTATGGTTAACTCAGAAGTGATGACATTCATATGGAGCTAATAAAAGGGTATCGGCAGAGTAGAACATCATACGAAATTTACTACCACAAACCTCATCATAAAATTAAAATAGAAGCGCATCAAAATCAGAATAATTTATCTACTCACTATATTTCAATCTGAAGACGACCAATTAAAGATCAAAACTACCCATGATGGTCTATTGCTAAACATAATAAATAGATTTAATCAAATGAAATCTCCACATAAGACAACCATTGGCGTAACTAAAAATAAAGTTAGATAAATCAAGCTGAAATGCTGAGAAACGTAAAATGAGCTAAATCTATAAAAAAATATGGTGTGGAGAGAGGGTTGGCGAGGGCTGAACAACTCTGAGGGGGACCTTGCCCCGTTGGCACCCCCATTAGTTACGCCAATGAAGACAACCAACAACCCATCGATATCTTAATACGTACCAACATTAATATAAATAAGATACCTGTCTCTTTGATTAACTATGTTCCCCGGTGTACGGTGCGTACTTCGATGATTTAAATTGTAGTTTTTGGTTTGGCCTTTTGCTTGCTGTTTTGGACTCTACGTTTGCAATTAAGGGTCAAATGTTTGGCATTTGTTAACATTCAAGTTCAGTGCGTAATTCATGTTTTCCTCCGTTACTGTGGGTGAATTTTATTTGGCGTCCACATAACTAAAGTGAGGATTCTACCGTCGTATTTATAAAATATATAACATACCTACCCATCATTTACCTTCTATCACTAAACATATTTTACAACAACTTTCTATCGTCATAACAGTTAACTATATATTCCATTTGTGTCTAAATACTTTCTCCTATAAACCTCTACTAATTCTTTCCTTCGATCCATTTTCTCTAAAGTCTCATTCGAAACAATAAATAATAAGTCTCATGTTAATAGAAAATACATAATACTTAATCAATGTTTCTCTCGAGTGGGATTGGTTTGCATCGTTTTTGTGTTTTTTTTTTATCTTCAAATTATAGTCTGCTTAACTTGATTGAATCGTTTTATACTTTGTTCACGCTTATTTGGCAATCATTTTGCGGGGTTTGTGTCCTATATCAAATACTGATTTGTTTCGACTACACATCTGTGTTTGTGCGCTATACTTTAACTTTTACTCATAAGACTGGAAAACGTATGTATTCTTCTGTGTTTGTTGATCAGTTTCCGTTAAAATAACTTCATTTAAAATAATTATTCGTTTCTGTTCAGTTGCTGTTAAAACATGTTTCTTTCGTGTTAACTTAAATGCCTTAAATTATCTTCTGTATCACACATGGAAAGCGTTCAACGACATTAATTACCTATATGTGTATTGTTTAATGTAAATTGTCTATCTTCTTTTGTTGAAGTTCACATATATTTTTAAGCTACAATATTTTGTTACTACGATAACAACTAACGGTACTTGTTATATGGGTTAAAACTGGCATTAAAATCGTTTAAAAACACATTCAACGCTTGTAATATGCATATAAAATTTTAAATCAACGTATCTTCGTCCTGCGTTTCGAAGAGCATCAGCAACGAGTGCTGTGAGGACGAACGGCCTCCGAGTCCGGTTCCGGTAAGGGAACCGTCTGGTGAGAGTAGTCCTGTTTGCAGACTATAGTTGTCACGGTAGCCTGAAGTGGACGACGTTTGCGAGACGGAATCCCAGGATAGATCTCCGATTGCTGTTATGTTTTTGTTGATGATCTCTGGTGACTCACTTGGAACAGTGTGCGGAAGGTGGCTACCAACCACAGAGGACACCGGTGGTGGTTGATGTGGTTCGCTGCCATGATTGTTACCACGAGTTGTTCCTCTGCGACAACGGAATGTCTTACGACTTTGAGCTCGCGAACGTTGCAAACGATGTTTTTGATTCTCACCGGAACTTTCATCTGCCAAACTGTCCGGTGATAGTGGTGTTGTGGATGTTTCACCAGATGATGTTTTGAATTCCACGGAAGAAACGAACCGTAACTTTGGAGGTTGAACCTTGCTGGATGGCTGCATAGATATTGAATGAGTGAGCGATGGAACTACGCCTCCTTCTGCCAATATGCTCGATAAAGGACCCTGACGGATAACGGATCCATCGGGCACAATTCCGGGTGTCAGGGTGATACCGTCACCGCTCTGATTGTCGGCCATCATAATGTCCTTATTGGTGGTAGTTGTGGAGCTGGACAACGATTCACCTCTGGGTGCGTGCAGTGTATGTTGTGAAAGTGTATCACTAGGAGTACAGACACCGGTACCACTTCGGGAGTCCTGCTGAAATGAAGAGAAACTTGGCGCTTGTTGCCCTCCCGTAAACATGGAAATAAGTGACGGTCGTTGTTGGTGCTTCGGAGGCTCTTGAGGAATAGGAACATTGGAAACCTCACGCCGTGGTGCTTCCTGGGGTGTAGGATCCCGATCTGTATAAATTTATATTTTTTTTTTCAAAAAAAAATTCATCGATTCTTTTTTATCAATTTACCATAACGCTTTTCTTCCAACTCTTCTCGCAAATCTCTGATTTCACGCGCTAATTCCAGCAGGATAGCTCCTCTAGATTTCACTCCCCCAGGTGATGGCATCCCTCTCATACGTTCTCGAATCAAGAATTGCATGTGCCTTTCGTGGTCTCCGATAGGTGGTTGCGAAATCTGAAAATGGTTCTATTATGTACCATCGCTGTAAATTGGCATTCGAAATCCATGCTTACCTTATGTAGTATGAATGGCATCAGAACTATGTACAGTGGAGTTCTTTGAGTAACAACAAACTCTAAGAAACTCCATAATTCGGGAGCTGCTTCATTGCGCCTGCCCAAATCGCGCATTACCCTTACGATTCGAGGCCATTCATTTGACAGTCGCGATTCAAAGCAAATACATAGAACGCGTAGTGCCAAAAATGTTGCTTGGTAAAGAGAATTGGAAATTTTTGCCGGTCGTTTCGCATCACGACTTCCGGTGAAAGTTAACGAGCCTGCTCGAATATCCGCTCCAGTTCGATTGCTTTGAGAACCGATCTGAGCAGTCCTACCGGCAACGGGACTCATTGCGTTGAGAACTGCTGTAACCAAGAAAGATATATCCGACTGTTTCAGCTCACCAATCTCGGAAATGCTGCGTCCACTGCACACTTTAAGACACAGCGGCATCAGAAGGTGCATCAAAAATCCTTCGGCTTTTTCTTGAGTAGGAAATTCTGCGCTTCCTCCACAGATTTGTTCTAAACCGAGCGTAACGGAATCAACCGGGCTTACCACCTGAAGTGCTACTAGACGCACTACTTGAGAGCAAAAGAACGGTGGAGGACTCTTGGACATGAGAGCTGCTCCGGCGCTTGACACACCCTCCGGGAAGTTTCCTGGTTCATTAACGATGAGATTTTGAATAGTTGTTAACAGTGACTTCATCTCACGCCAGTGCAGCACGTGTGGATAGCGAACTATCGATTCGTAGACTCCTTTTAATAAACCGGCTGCTGCCTCCCAGTCGGTATTGCGCTGAAAGTTTACGTATTATATTTACAATTTTACAGTATCTACTTACTACTTACCCTTACTGAAGTTTTCTTGGATATCTTCAAAAATACCTTATCTAAACGACGCAGAATGGTGACCAGAGTTGGCTTCATTCCATGATCATCTGCCCATTCGGCTCGTGGAAAAATGCACAGCATGTAACGCTGCAGTCCTCGGCAGGCCATCGATTCGGGATCGTATGGAGAAACTTTGAGCAGGGAATGGGCAATTTCAGCCAAACGCACGTGACATTTGACATCCAGCAGCTCAACGGCTTTGCTTTCTCCTTGCTTGCGTGAAAGCTCGTTCAACCGGGTAGAGGAACGAGTTATGAACTCACCAACCACTGAAAGTAACACATCACGAGGTCGACGGTATTCTGCTCGAATGGTCTCCGAGTCCTCGACGGATTCGTTCAAAATTTTGGTTCGGCTTACGTCACTGACGTACTTGGAGTGAGATTCTTCTTCAAAGTCCAGACCGGGTGAGCAAGGTGGACCACGTGAACAGTTTCTCTGACTGGAACCCTTGTGTTCCGGGCTGTTGCGGAAGGGGCCATTGTAGCTCCTGGAAGTTAAAAATGAAGTAGCTTGTTTTCTGAAATGTTTTATTGAATTCAACCATACTTTGAAAGTCCTTCGCAGTTATGCACCATAGTACGAATGGCTACGGCTAACTGTAGTATGATGTCCCGTTCACACTTTCCTTCGAGTGGAACATAACTTGGTGATTGAATCTGTTGCATGTAGCACGGTAAGATGGCTTCCAAAATAATCTAGGAAAATAGTAGCGATTGGCAATGTCACTTCTTGAATTTATATTCTAAAAAACATACCAACATCTGATAGCCTCGAGTGCTCTCAGCGGAGTACGACACAACCATGACACACAGGGTGATGCAATCCAAAACCGTTACCATTTCGTCTTCATCATGGTAGCAGAAGTCAATTGCTTTCAATGGTTTAGACTCCTTGACCAATTCGGCAATATTCAGCGGATCGGGAGAAGGCGTTTCCAAACTTAGCAACAAATTGAACAGGCAGCTGGATTGCACCTTATGCGCTTCACCATAGGCACCGTCCTCGTCAGTATCGAGAATGGCCGATACCGATCCGAACATTTGAAGAATAAATGGTTTTCTGTTCAGCAGGTAAAACTGCTTAACTGCATATTCAATAGTAGTTGTGACTAGTTTGTTCGTTTGGTGCAGTGAATATACCTGCAGCAAAGTGGGCATAATCATGAAGTATCCGTTTGTCGAGAAGATGTTCTTGAAGTTGAAAGCTGCATTGATGAAGGTTGCTGTAACATAACGCATTATACACGAGTCCTCGGAGTGTAGTAGGGCTGCTCCGGAAAGTACATTCAAGAACAGCTGGATGTCCGCAGAGTAGGCGAAGTTTCCGGCCATTGCTTCGAACATTCTTGCAATCAGTCGCACCCACATGAACTTGTGCAACACATCTAAGCCAAGCAGCTCCTTACCAAATTCCCCGCCCTGGTGCAAGTCAAGGTCGACCTCCAGAGCCTTTCTCGGGAATGACGGTAACTTCATGAGCTCTTCATGTAGAAACACTACACGTTGTACGACCATATCCACATTCTTCAGGATCGCCCAAGTTAGGTGCACCTTTCCTATTTCTACAAACTTTTTGTACAGTTCTTGCTTTTGTAGTGCATTGAAAGCCTCTTCCGGCTTCATCTCAACCAATCTAAGCTGAGGGTACTGGGATCGTTTGAAAAAATACCAATCTCGTACATACCAATCGGGATTCAATATCTGTTGGGTCTTGTAGTCGACTAGTACAAATTGGTTAAATTTCTTTTCGTCAATACCGAAGAAATCCAGTGATTCCGTGAGCAACTGTGTAAACTGAGTATCCTCTTGTACTGGAAATTGGGACGGAATACCGCCTTCGTCTAGCATGCAAATGAAAAAGAAGAGTTTTCGGAATAATTATTGAAGACAATTTTTGAAATCATACCTTCTGGTCCATGGACGACAATCTTCTTTGCCGATGGTACGTTAGCTGTTAGAAGTATAGATGCATCGCATTGTTCTTTACGTAGAATTTGCTTCAAGTCTTTGAACATGATTCCATGTACACTGTGAACAACCATCCACAGAACGGAAAGAGCAGATCCGACCAACTGAAACAGAAAATATTGATCTTAGGCATAAATCCGTTGGGCGCATATGGACGTTAGGCATACCTACACGGTTAGAAAAAAGTACCCAAAATTAAGTTCTTTTCACTCATCTCGGCACTATAGTGCAGGAACCCAAAAGTAGGTAAAGCGGGTCAATGTAATTTTCATTTACTTGTGTGCAGTTCGAATGGAAATTTCCACTAGCTTTTTAACCAAAAGCAAGTTAGTTGTACCCAACAGTAGATAAATATGATGATACCCAACGTTGGGTTCCCACACTTTACTACCCCTGTTGGGTGGTTTTGCTCCTTCTTTTTTGACAACATTAGAAGGAGAAAATGAGACAAGCTAGTCAAAAGTAGGTAAAAGTGAACTGGCCGTTGGGTACTTTTTTCTTACCGTGTATGTTAGGCATAATACGATCGGCATAATAGACGGTTGGTATAAAGGACGGTTGGCATAATGGACGATTGGTATAATTCATATTTCAATAAAAAAAAATCAGAAAACTTTCTATTCTTTCTCTCATGATCTGTTCTTTGAGAACAATCGTATTCTTATTTGTACATTCATGATTTCTGCTATTTTCAGATGAGAACCAAAGGCTTAGCTGGAATGTTTTTTTTTTTGTGTGGATCATTTGACCTAATCACACAATTTTAAAATATTTTTTCATGAGCTTCTTTGAGAATAAAATTCTTCTTCTTCTTTCATTAACTAAGGGTTATTGGTTTTTGGAAAAAAAAAATAATCCAAAACATGGTCCTATTTTTCTTTCGACTTGATTTAATAAAATAACATCAAATTTACAACAAAAAAGCACATGCATAAAATATTTCTAAGTGGCATCGTTTTCGAGATGTAGAGGTTTGAATGTTATATTATTGGTAATATATTGCCCTTTTCGAATGTATTTCGCGATTTTCCAGTTCCAAGAATATTTTTCCGAAAGATCAGAAAATTTTCAACGAAAATGTCCTTGACGACTCTTTGATATGATCAGTATTTTCGAAATATGAAAATAAAACAATGCGATCTTTTTTCATGCACCTATATTATTATACTACCATAGCAGTTCCTGGTAGCAAATAGCATGGTTTTCAACTATCTAAATCTATATTTAAGTCATGCTCGACAGAGTCAACAAAAGAAAACAATTTGCTGTGGGCCTGTGAAAGTGACGTTGGGATGCAGCTCCGTCAGACATGAAATAAATTTTATTCACAATTAACTGTTGTTATGTACGCAGAAAAGCAATTTTGTTTTAGATAAACAAATTAACTGATACAGCATCATGACGTAAATCTTCTAACGTTACTACATAACTAAAATGATTATTTTGCGTTCTTGTCTAAAATAAATTACATGATAAATTATTTTGTCGAGCAGTTTTAAGACAACCTCCTACCAGTGATTTCAAGAAATGGATTAATAATTTTCAGTTTTTTCAAGCCTAAGTAGCATAAAAAAGCCCTATTTTCTTGGCTCTCATAGAGGAAACAATTTAAAAATATTGTTCCACTGCAAATATCGAGTGGTAGCCAACGTCATATTGAACTGCTCGAATTATATGATCAATTTTGATTTTAAAAAAGCACTTCCGCATACTTCGTCAATGGGTAGAGATCGGGAGTTAGGGCCGTCTTAACCACCCTTGGGGCCCTGGTCTATTTTGTATTGCGGGGCCCCATATGATTTGAATGTCAGTTTTGAAATTCTAGCACACATGAAATAAAAATAGGTAGGTACTTGAGGTAAACTATTTTCGTTATTTTTTTTTAAATTTTATCACATATTTAAACTAGATAAACTAAATCTGCTTACGACTTTTCATACTTGAGAATTTAATGATAGAAGTGTTGATATCAACTTTCATCAATATTTCGTACTTAATACGCATATGATTTTCACTCATTATCTATCTTGAGCAATTGGAGGTCATCATTTAAATAAACATCCTGATGATTATTTCCACATTTGAGAAAACCAATTTCTCAAATAGCAATTTTATCACAGCCTTGTTGCATGATCTGGACATATAATGCTTTAAAACGTTGATAAAACTTGTAATACTATAGTATACTATCGTACTGTCGCATAATGACCATTCGCTCATTTTCAACTTCTATTCAATTTTCATACTGCCGTACTCTAATGGAACTATCTATCCACCCTCTTCTAAGATCATTCTCTAGCTAATAAATTATCACACTAAAGCTTCATGTTAGATAGCATTTCCAACCAATTCTGAAAATCGCAAACTTCGCGCATGAAGTAACATGAACACACTTTGAAAGTAAATTAGATCAGCAAAAATATTGTTTCTATAAAACTGTAACAGATTTTATAAGCTCTAAAATTAAGTTAATATTTTGAAGTTGTATATCTCGAATGATTTCCAAAGTCTTATTAAGAAGTTTTCCGAGCTACAGATTCATGAAAATTATCAGAAGCTGCTATGCTGAACGCCATGGTTAACACGGTTAAATTTTGGAAAGTAATAAATTATTTTAGAATCCTTGAACACGAAAAAAAAACATGAGGTCTGTCTTGAACTTGAATTTACAGAAAAAAAAAATTAAAATTGAATTTCGATGAGAATTTGCATAATCCAAAGGTTATTCCGGGAATATTGGAAAGTATTCTTAAGGAATTCCGAGGAGCCTAGATAGTAATTCTGAAAAGAAATTGAAAGGCTTTGTGAGGAAAGCTTCAGGAAAATACTTGGGCAATTTAAAGGAAAAAATTACATGGCAATTCTTAAGAAATGTCCAGAAGAATTTTAGAGAATATCTGAAAAGAACTCAAAGAGAATTCAGAGGATAATTCCAAACAATATCCAAAACTCCACAACTCCAAATAAATACTGACAAGAACTTCTTAGGAGCTCTGACATTAATTTCAAAAGAATTGTGAATTGATTAAATTCCAAAGGAATCTTAAGGGAATACATATGAGTAAGTCGGTAAAAAAATCATGGGTTGGTATAAGCTAACATTTACATTTTATAACTTGTTTTTAGGGCATCAAAATAAACATTTTCAACTGTAAACAAAATAAATATGAAGACATTTGGCAACAAAATTGCTGAGATATTCTTATTTGAAGTTAGTGGTTTGAAAAAAACAGGTCCCACGATATCTCATCAGTGCTTTGACCAAATCGGCTAGTTTTTGGGGTGAAGACTCGTTAAACATGACCAAGGCCTATTTTTTAAAAAGTAAATTTAAAAAATAAAATAAAATAAGATAAATAAAAAAAATTTCATGTTAAAAATCATTAGTTTTAATTTTTGTGTTAAAAAAATAAATTTCAAAATCCGGCTTCGTCATGCACGCGAAATACATCTTGTGAGTCTTCACCTCACATTTCATCCAATTTGGTCCATCCAGTCCTGAGATATATTGGGATCCGTAAATCAACTCTGTGTTTCGAGAAATCCGATCCATTTTTAGACCTCAATTAGCAACATTTCAGCTCAACACGTGTTTACTTATACTAATTGTACTAACATGTGGTTACTAATACGAATCGAATTCGACCTTTTTTTAAAAATCGATTTTTCGGTCGATTTTACATATATGTAACCCCTTAAGCAGAATTTAATATTTTCAACAGCGTCAAGAAGAGGTTATTTAGCAGTAGTTTTGAGTTAAATTTTATGGAAGTTCAAACTCACAACTTCTAAGAATGTGTCATGGGAGTATTGAGCAGAATTCAACAGAATTGAAAAATATGTATAACGGAAGTTTTGGAAAATTTCTCACGGAAGAAAATTATAACGTAATTTTATGGAAAATTTGAGAGAAATTTTGAAAAATTTAGCCGGAATTCTAAAAAAAAAATAGGATGCAAAAGAAGAAATTCCAAAAAGAGTATCAAAAGAAGTCTGATATGAAAACCAAGGAAATCTTATTTTGATAAAAGTTTCATACATTCCACAGACAGAAATCATTCTGCAGGCCACACAAACTCATTCGGTTTATTTTTACAAATATAATACATTTTATTTTAACAAATACAAAACTAACCAACGATTATTTTCTTGAAACATATGATTGAGAAGGATAAGATTGATGTTTCGGAGCCTCCCTTCAAATTGGGGGCCCTGGCTTTAGCCCACCATCGCCCTACCGTTAATACGGCACCGTAGAGAGCTGCTGTTTTTGACTCGGCAACACCGATATCGAAATTTATGTACCGTAAAACGGGGTAACATTGAAAGTTTTTCAAAGTATATTCAAAATATTTTTTACAGCAATGCATGTTTTTCAAATTTGACTTTTTTTAAACAAGTACTGAGGATCCTAGTAATTCATTAGTAATATGTTTAACGGAAATTAAAGCATTTGCACTATTTTTTTAGTTTTGAAAGAAAAAGGGGAAACTAAAGCAATTTAGTTCTTGAAATATGAAACTTTGCATGAGTATATAGTTAAAAAGTTGGGGTGCTCGCTAGTTGGGCCACGACCCAATTAAAATTGATTTGACAATCAACCATAACCTCTTCCTATGGGGTAATCATATGCGTTTTGAACTGCGCATTCAATGTAATGTGTGTAAACATATGGTATTTGATCGAAACATTTGAATTTAACTTGAAATTCCTGAAGAAATCTTAAGCACATATTAAGCACATCAGTATTTTACTTTTTCCACTGAGTTTCAAGCAATTTGCTTCAATCCGAATTGTTTTTTGGGAGCAACAAACGATACGCATACCCCAACAAATTTTAGCCTTCTGTCAGTTCACTCAACTAACGAATCGAATTCGTTAGTTGGGCCGAGATGGTGGCCCAACCAGCGAATTTCGGCTGTATATATAAAAAACTACATACGAAATCAACGGAAATGCCCTAAACTACAATATAAACCATTATCGCACAAATTATGCAAACAATGGGTCATTAAATCGATTGATGGTCTCTTATAATCAGTACTGCGGAACCATGGACTTTACAATGTCTCGACATAAACTAAAACAATATTTTAACTCCATACGGAATTATAACTCATAAGAAGAAACATAGGAAAGCAGACACTGCTTATTTTTTTATTTAGAGCAAAATTGTACTGTTTATTTTTTATTTCAAAGATTTTTTTTTACATTTAAGAAAAAAAACTTTACATGTATTTGTACTGGCCTACGGTTGATGAAATAAGTAAATAAATAACCCTAAGTTTGGTAAAAAAAATAGCCGTCTTAGATCGGTAATGCTAAAAATTACAGATGTTTCGGTATTTTCTCGCTTTATTGCTGAAAACTGTAAATGAAATGACCGAATTTCGGTCATTTAATTTTAATTTAACGAAAACGGTAAAAAAATTTACCGGTAGGTCTGTAAATCAGCTTCATCACTGACTTCGGTGAAATATTTTACTGAAGTTTCGGTAAACAAAGTGTTCCATTACTGAGTTCGGTAACGGTCTTGATAAACGTCAAATCCACCATATTGTGATTTACGATCGACTTTGAAAACGTTCGTGTTTGTGAAAAATAAAAAGGTGAAATTATGGAGGCTGTTATGCAACACCAAGAAGAGCAAATCATAGATATTTTGCGTAAGTAATTAATTTTTGTTATCTAAATAAATACCGATTACAGCTGGCCGATGTTGTGCTTGTTTTTTTTTCTGCAGTTCCAAGTTCTATTCCCGTTGGCGACGATCTGAAAACAACATTTGGAATCTTCATCCAATGCTTCCCTGTTTTCAGTGCAGCGCCAAATCCTTCCGACAAAAACTTGGTTTTGTTCATTGGTGGAGCAATTTGCAACGCTAACACATTGATCACGACTTCAACCAAATTTTTGCAAAGGTTGCAGTGACCGCCACCTTGAAACAATATTACAGCAAATTACAGTTGAGTCGGTTACCTTTAAAAAAAAATTACAGATCTCTCGGTAATTTTCGATTTGCATATCGTTCTCTAAATTATAATTCTCCTGTAAAGTCGACTACAAATCAAGCCATGCATATCGGTAAACGTTACCGATCGTTTGGTAAATTTGACAGCTAATTTTGCTGATCCAGTTTACAGATTTTTTGGTAATGTTCTCGATTACCGAAAATATTATAAAACATTACATTACATTAATATTACGTTCAGCTGTTGAATTGCCGAAGTCGGTGATTTTTTCTAAGTGTGTATCTATTATGACAGTGATGTGGTGTGACTTCTTGATATGGAGATTCCGTACAGCATAAAGCAAGCATGCTCCCAAACTTGCGCACTATATTATTTTCTTAAGGGTCACCCAGATTAGATCCGTTTGCGTTGCGTTAACGTAAATTTGACAGTTAGACAATAGATTTAGCTGTCACTTAGCCGCAACGCGTCAGATCCGGATCTAATGTGCGTGGGCTTTTACAGCAACTACAGCAAAAGCAAAAAAAGCAACTACGGCAATAGATCTAATGTTGGTAGTGCTATTCTTCGCCATCGGCTGGCAGCAAGCGCTGCCAAACAGTGTTATCAGAGTTGATAATAGAAGAGTTACGCAGACTGAAACCAAAATCTACCTATCGAACTGTCAAACCGTCTACCTATCGCGCATAGTAGACAAACTGACTCTGTTGCGTAGGAAGTATTGGAAACTTTCACAACCCTGTTGAAGTCATCCTAGGTGTAAACAAAAACAAAGGTTGCCAAAATGAAAAAAAAAAAATATGAACAATGATCGACATCATTGTTGCAAGCTTCACTCTGCGTAACTCTTCTATTATCAACTCTGAATATTATGTGTAAATTTTTAATCGTGACTCTTCGATTGTTTGTTTACGTTCGTGAATGGTTAGAGAGAAGCAAAATGTACCAATTTTTGGTGAAAAAAAGTTTAAAAGTTATTTTGATATATTTGAAAAAATGTGGCTCACATTAGGTTTCACTACATCCCACTATTAATATAATTTGAGATAAGCTTGAACATTTTTAATATTGATGAGCTGCAATAATTATACATATTCGTTTCGTCACACCGGGAGAGTAAAAAAATGGGTTCGATTTTGGGGTCCCGTCTTCATCCGCCCACAATCTACTACGTGGTAAATTCAGAGTGGTAATTAATTTCGCACGAAGTGCATGGCCTTTATTTTATCATCAACGAACCATGTGCAACATTTATCAGCGAAATGTCGAAAATAATTGTTCGGTAGTAAATTGAGAATGATATTCTGGTATTGGAATGATCTTTCTCACCCTTATACTACTGTAAATGTGATCTTCCCATTTTTTGATAATAGTTACCAATTGTGTATGTGGTGACCATTAATGTGAATAAAATGGGATATAATTTTCCGCAAGCGGGATTCGAACCCAGGTGGTCAAACATCATTAACGATGTGTATAGTAATTCAATCGTCACGCCTTTACCTTCTACACCATAATGAGCTCTATTCTTCTGCTGAACTAACCTGTTGGCTGCACTCGTGTGTCGATCGAACATAGAACATGACATATCCGATGATGTAGTTGTACAACGCAAAAGCAGCTTGCTGTGGCAATCTTGGCACGAATCGGATCAAATGCCTCAATAGTTTGAACATTTGATCCTGATGATCCCTGGTCAGTCGTTCCAGCACATAGCGAAGAAACAGAGCAGAATCTTCCACCAGACATATCCAAATGACTTGATAGGCCGTCTCGTAGACGGCCTGGCCATCTGCATTCACAGCGGCATCATCGAGACAGGCCACAATTTGCATTACCGAAGAACACAAACACGAGGGGAAGACAGAATGGGCGGCATGCATATGGATCGCTGATCGAGCGCCATCTTCTTCCTCTTCCATGTGATCTTCGCCAGGGCCATGATCGAGGCCTGGCTCGTATGCGGCCTGCTGTGTTATAGGGATGGTGGTTATAAGGAAGCTTTGTCGCTCCGAACGTTGTTTGTCTTCTTGTTGCTGGATAGCATGACGAATAGCTTCTGTTTGTTGCTTTTTACGTGTTTTCGTTGCAGTCACCAGGGATCGCTGGAAATAATAACCTCGTTTGAAATGGGTTCGTTATAAAATTACTTTATGTTTACATGTCTTTCCTGATTAAGTGTAACCTCCATATCCTTGTTTTGCTGACGGGGACTCCATGGAGGATCAACTACTGGCAGACTTTCAATTCCGATTTTAGGCGAAGGGAGAGTAAATTCGATACCCGGTGGTGGTACTTTGAATGTCAAATGTGCACCTTCTTCCATGCGAGGCCACACCTGGAATCGATTTTTCCAGAGCACTTGATATCTGAGCATAGCGGCCACTCTTACGTTAGGATTTTTATGCTTCATTGCACGTTGCATGAGCTCAGATGCAGTAGTCGGTGCTTTGACCGAAGCCAGGATAAATAGAGCAGCCGAAGCAGCGGAAACCTCCTGGTTGGATTCGAGCAAAAGCTCCCACGCAACGGGGATAACTTCAACGAATTGCTCTTCAGTAAGAACGGAAGCCCCCTTCACAAGTGTAGCTATAGGTACGTGAAACATTTCACGAACGTGATTTTTGATGTATTTCATAACCAATGGTGCTTCTTGTGACTTTTTGCCCTCGTCAACGCGCTGTGAATATTGAGAAGTGTTGGGTTCGGAATCATCTTGGATTATTCTGAAATGAAAAATTTCACCGGTTATCGTTTTCAAATATCTGAAATGTGATCATATATGTACCTATCACGTTTGGTGATGCTATCCTTTCTGCGAGATGGCGAAGTTTGCGAAGAACTTTGATCGGATACTTTGCGGCCATGTTTATTGCGATCCCGTCTTGCGCCGCTCTTTCCAGAGTCAGAGGTGTGGGTAAATGCCATCGGCAGCAATCCGAATTCTTCTCCATATACCTGGAATGAGAGCAAGGGATTTTAGAATTATTTGTTTTATTGGATTTTTAATAATAGGATTGCTGGTCAAGCGAATTCTGAACCCTGAAAATACGAGTCAATCACTTCAGAATTTCCAGATAAGTAACAGTATTGAATGTAAAATCTAGAAACTTATGGCAGATTTTTTGAAAAATAAAAAATATGTATCATAAAACTGTTGGATTGCTTGAAGAACAAGTGACTGTGAAATATTAATCTGATTCCGTATTTCAGAGTTAATCTAACTTCAAGATGAATCTCTCACAGGTTCTGGGATGTCTCGGTTCTGGGTGAGTAACATGTATACCTAGTTTCCATTGCTAATAACATGAACGAAGTTTTCTTAGAAAGTAATGGAAATATTTGAAAGTAAATCATTATTAAAAATATTAATCTCTTCCTTAATAGTTCAGTACACATATCTAAAACTATTTCGATGATCATTGATTATGTAATCAACCCATGTAATATTACATCTCTAATTTTTTTTTGAGTTCTTCAAATGTAGGTATAAAATTAAACCGTGGTACTTTCCCCAAAAATATGAACAGATACAAGAATATAAAGACAGTGAAGAGCCCTTCTTTTGCCGGTTTTTAATTTTGTTTGATTCCTTGATTCCGGGCATCGATTGAGGGCATCATAAGTGGTGAGTATTCTTATAACCGGTCCTTTGGTAACAAGAAATATAGTAAAAAGAAATGCCAGTATAATGCAAACAATCCATGAGAAGATTATTTATTGTGATCCTCTCATCACTGTATTACTATCAATCACACAAAAAAAGTTCCACCTGCCTCCTGTGAGGATTGAACTCACGACCGCTGGTTTACGAGACCAGCGCTCTACCACTGAGCTAAAGAGGCTGTTGTGCATGTGAGGTTCAGAGGCGTATTTAAATCTAGCTACCTCTGCGCATGCGTCGGATTTATGAACAGCTGTTACATGGCAGCCGAATGAGAGGTGGGCCAGTCGATTGAATGTAAATCTAATATCTATACGGAACATCCTGAAATGGAGCATTTCTCGTATCCCAGGTAATAAAATTTCACAAAAAATCGTTATTCATAATCATGAAACAGTTTTAATAGTATGTAGGAATATTATCTATGTACTAATATTGATGACGTCCGCATGCGAAAGAATAATAATTATTCAGCAAATCGCAGGGATGCCAGGTCACTTTTTCAAAAATCAGCGGTGAAAGCTCCAAATGTGTGTAATTTTTTCCGAAATAATGGAAATAATTTAATGTCTGTAATTGGGTTGTCCATAAAAATTCGCATATGAATAACAGAAAGTGTTGAGCGGGGAGTGGGATTTTAGTATGGCGCCCACCAATGAAGCATAATTGAACTGACGTCTACATCAAAGTGCAGAGCTTGGAGAGGAAAGTTAGGAAGGGTTCATATTATTCAGTAGAAAAGATATAATCCCGTTCATTTCGTTATGTTCGGAAAATCTGCGAAAAATATCTGCAAGTCATTAACTGCAAACAAAATAATAAGAAAAAAACAATTTTACAGACACATCAGCACACCTGGCATCGCTGGAAAAACGCGGAGAATATAGTTACTTGCGTTACGCAACAGGCAGCAGTACGGAAGTTGCATGCAAGCCACGAGTAATTGAATGTTGTATAAAAGTAAACATTTATCACGGCAAACGAAACTAACTTATATTAGAGTTAGGTTTTTTCAATTTCGCAAAAGCATAGGTAACTCCTAGAATGAGTGAATGAGAAACAGAATCATATTTGAGTTCCGTTTTTTTAATTTCCCAAAAGCATAGGTCACTCCTAGAATGAGTAAATGTTTATTCAAATATGGATAAATATCACTCATATTTTAGTGACATTTACTCATATATGAGTGTCATTCACTCTAATATGAGTGACATTTACTCATATTAGAGTAAAAGTTTACTAATATATTAGTTACATTTAATCATATTTGAGCAAAAGTTTACTCATTCTCAGTACTGTAAATTCTCAAACTCAATTGAACATTTTTGATGAAAATGAGAAAAGCAGCTATCCGCTATCAAAGGGGACTTCCTTCGACTGGGTGATATCAGTTGCTTAGTCATTTGACGAAGGCATGGATCATTCTCATTTGAGAAACGCTTGATATCATTCAATTGAGTATAACCTAAATTGACATCGGGTCGACTTGTCTGTTCAAGTTTTTTTTCTTTATTTAAGAGATTTTTAGCCATAGGCTAGTTCATCTCTTATACTGTCTGTTCAAGACCATTTTGCTGGGTTTCTTTCATACTCCACTTTTGTATATGAGCATGAACATTATTTGTATAATAATTATGAGCACTATACAACAACTAAACAACAACTATGCGTTGATGCATATATTATGTCACGCTCTAAGGGGGGAGGGGGAGGGGTCTAAGATTTTGTGACAAGCAATGCATAAGGTATAGGAAAAACGTCACGATAGGGGGAGGGGGTAATTGTTTGCTCGATTTAGCGTGACATAATTAATGCATGGGCCCTATACAACAACTATACAAGTGTGTCCATGGATGTGCTCATAAATTATTATACAAATAATGCTCAGGTTCATAGTTTGGCATATTAATGACCTACATTTTTGCGAATTTGAGTGAACGGTACACAAATATGAGCCAGATTCAATTGCCTTGATTGAATCCGACTCATATTTGAGTTCCGTTCACTACAATTTCACAAAAACATACATTGAAAACGAATCTACGACCCCCGCGTAGTGGTTAACATCCATACCTCTCACGTCAAAGTCATGAGTTCAAATCTCACCCCCGGACAAGTCACGAATGACCCAAGAGTGTTAAAGTGCTATAACAAAAGAAAAAAAGAATCTTACTCAGAGAGTGTGAGCCTCTCTTTTACTCATTTCAGAAATTTCTAAAATCGTAGGTTACTCATGCGCTGAGTGCCCTACTCTTTTAGCAAATTCTCCATACGAATGAGTAAAAGTAACTCACTCTCTGAGAAGTTTCGTTTTCAGTGTAGGTTACCAGGCATGGAAAATTATTTGCATTCATTTCGTGCATTCATTTACATTCATTTGTCCCTAACTTTTTTCAACATCAGAACTCCACAAAATAATATATGGAGTTTTTGTAGGTTTTGTTATTAACTACAACTTTTATTCACAACTCAAATCCGTAACTCTTATGCATGACGAACCAGAGCGAACAGAAGCCACTACTGTTTTTCAGTGAATGTATTTTACATTCACTGAAAAACAGTAACAAGTTCTGCCCGCTCTTGGTCGTGATGCATAAGAGATACAGATTTGAGTTACAGGCAAAAGTTGTAGTTAATAACAAAACCTACAAAAGCTCTTCGCATTATTTTGCGGTATGCTGTTGATGAAAAAAGTTAGAGGCAAATGAATGTAAATGAATGCATGAAATGAATGTAAATGATTGTCCATGCCTGTAGGTTACACATAGAGTGAGTGAAGGGTGGGTGGTACCGTTCACGGCTGACCTTTAACCAATTACGCAGAAAACTCCTGGACCGAGTAAAATTTCTGTCGATTTTCCTCATACTAGAGCAGATTTAAAAAAAAAGTGAGGAAAATTTTACTCAATCTATGAGTGATCTACGTTTTTGCGATTTCAATATTGTTTTAGCATTGATTCTTGAGTTATAAATATATATGAATATTAAGATTCCTTGTATTCGAATAATGCCACAGATAATTTGCACACAAACAAATAAACAAACAAATTTCTGAGACCCACTTCAATTGATAAATGATATAAAATATTATTTGATTTTTTATTATTTTTGTGTTTACAATTTCAATTGCTTTAAATATTGGTGGCATTTTACATAAATGATTTCATGCGATTTATTAATTTTTCAGCTAATAATCTTTCTGCAACTGTAAATTACAAACTTATGTTTCAATTAACTTAAGTAATCTTTACAGGAAAATCCAACGATCTTTTGCAATACATTCATAAACCACGTCAAATTAAAAGGAAAAACACTAATGTTCAATAATTGAATCATATTTAGACTGGTGCTAGATTATTGTCTAGGGGATAACGCCTAAAGGTATGCAATGATTCATAAAAAAAGCTGCTACGTATATTTTCCTCCTGTTGGTCACGGACCATGTGTGTTGAATGAATTGATATCCTACGCAGGTGTGGAAGCTGCCTCCTGCACATTCGATTGCCGTCAGCGGATGGCAATCGATGTTCGTAGGTGATTGGCACTAGATTGCGGAACAGAGACCGACTTTAAATAAAGGAAAGAAAAAAAAAAGTTTCCCATGCTTGACCGGTTCAATAAAATAAATAAAACAACAGATAAGATGAGTACAATATATGTGAAAGTTACGTTCAATCATCTATCAAGATGGTCACGAGAGAACAAGTTTTTGTTGGCCCATTTGAATGAAAGATATAAAATATGTATCAGGGAAGGTAGTTGTGTTATGTCAGAAGTCTTTCATGAAATGCAGTTACTGGTTTACTAACCTTTCGAACAGCCTTTACCAACCTAGTGGCTGCTCGCATATGTCTTCGATAGCAGTAGGGATGACAGAAGTTCTGATGGTCGCAATAATAATTGAATGAGTTTAAAAATGCTATCACCGACCGTAACCAAGGTAGATTCTTGGCTGTTTCATCTGAGTCGTTTGAATCACATGGCGATTCCGGTGGTTGGTCATCACTATAAAGAAAACGGATAATTAGATTCGTTGGAAAGAACAGTCCTTTGCTTGAGCGTACCTTAGTATTCCAGGTGATTCTTCGCCTCCACTAATTTGGCCCGGTTCGGAGTTATCGCTACGGTCGGACAGTGAGGACACTTTTCTTCGCGATTGTATCGAATCGGTACGTTTCACAGGGTCTAAGAAGGGAAAAGTGCATAGTTATTCTTTTGTTGCTGGAAAAGGCCACTTCTAACGAGCATTACAATCGTCATTATCCTTTAGATCCTTTGGTGCACGCCGCAACTTTAATGATCTTCGTTTAAAGGAACCACCGGCAGGTGTTGTGGATGTTCCACGTCTCAAGAGGAAGTTTCTCGTAGTGGTAATGGAACGCTTTTGGGCTTCTTGGAAAGGGGGGAAACATATAATATACAAAGTTACATGGTTTAATCTAGGAAATTCAAGGTAATCCGATCATGCGAGAACAGTTTTTTTTTCTAACAAACACACAGTTCGGTGCGGGTATGATACATTCATTATCTGACTCCTTTCTCAAGCCATAGAATAACTTACGCTGCACTACTTCCTCGCCTTGTATAGTCAGAGTAGTATTGCTGCTTCCTTCGGATTCGTTGTCTGGTTCTTGAAGGACGAATGATATTTTACGTTCTGTTTGCCCTGCGATCGACTGTAGACTCTGGGCAGAAGTTTGAGAATGTCCCATCGAGCTCAAAGCCATTGACCACCGACGATTGGTTTCACTGCAGGATGAAGTAGTTAATTTCACTCGTTATTTATGTCCAATGGGATCATCTTACCGACAAACTTTATCCCATGGAACTTGCTTCTCCTTAGTGGAAAGTCTGGAAGTTTTTGGCAAAGTCTGGTATGTTTCTCGGAGAAATCCAGTGATTTCCAGGAGCAAAATGCATGCCACTAGCTTCAACGCTGGTGGACAATCATTTCCGTGAGGGTTTACACTCACTGAAAGATTGAATGATATTAGGCTTACGCTGGTTTTTAATAGCCATAGAAAATTATTTACATTCATCCAGGAAATCTTCTTCTTCGTCTTGTTGCAATAATTGCTTTTGCTTTTCCGGATCTGCTAGGCTGGCATTAACCTGATCATAGGTTTTCTTTTCGTTGTTCAGCATATCATCCAAGCGAAATCCTAATGCTTCTCCCCACTAAAATGGTTTTGGTTATCATTAGTAATGTTGAATTATTATTTGGTTTACAATGTCCAATTCAACTTGATATTACAACTCTAGCGTTCAGCATCGTAAGGGCTTAACTGCGATGATCGATTCTTTTCATAGATTTTATTTTCGTATTGGCATAGTTTAGTGAAACAATTTTCCGATAAATGTTAATCCAGTCGAGTTATTAACAAAAGAGAAAATCGATGAAGAGAATTGATCAACGCAATTAGGCTCTTATGATTCTGAACGCTAGAAATATGTGTCAATAAATAATAACAAAACACAGGACAAAATCATTAAAAAAAAATATGGTTCTGATATGTCTGCACTCCGTTTGCATTATTTGTAAGTTGATAATTGAGAAAATATAATTCTGTTTGGTGTGGAAAGCGCTTATGTACTAGCAAATCTTACCTGATGAAACATTTTCCCAGCAGCTCTCTGCAGAATATGGATGCGTCGAGCACCAGCTGCTAGTGATGCTCTGTTGCCAAGAGCTGGCCCAGATGGTCTAAACGAAGGGATATTTTGTTTCATCCAGCTAGGCCACTGGCCCCGGTTACACAAATGTACAAAATGAGCACATTCCATCAATAATGCAGCACGTGCAACGATCGGAGCCTGAGGCAAATCTAGGAGGGCGGCAATCAGTGGAGGGTCGGGAATTGACCCGGGAGCACATGTCTCTAATAAAAATGAAAACCTTGCCATTCCTTCACGAACTGCATTTATGGGTATCAGACGTCTTTCTTTCAAAACTACGACCTCAGATTCCCGAGGCCCTTCGGCCATGTCAACTGATGGTCGATGGCTAAAATCTATGGGAAAAAGCAAGTTGTTAAATATCAGTATGCAACAAAATTGACCGAAAACACTTACAGCCTCCTGAAACGTCTTCAGTTCCTCCCATCTTCTTCTTCCCCTTACCAAGACCGAACCTTCCGAGTCTACGTTCCACACGCCTCCGGGCTCTCTGAATGGATTTTCCAATTCCTTCGGTTGCGCGAGTCCTCGCTTGAAAGGTGAGTGATCCCTTCCTCATGAATGAAGTCGTTATCTCAGCACTGCCCCCCATTGCGCCGGATTCTAAATCGATGGATTCACGGTCTTTTGACCCACGAAACCACCGAACGATACCGCTAATTCGTCCTACCGAATTTCGTTCTGAACTGGATGTTGAATCGGAAAGAAGTGCTCTTTCACTGTGTCGTGGAGTTAACGTGGGTCTGGATGGCATCCCTTTGCGGCGAAAATTACTCAGAGGGCTTTGACTTGCACGGCAGTGCTCTTCTAGGCCCTCCGTTTCCAGTAAGCTCTGCAACAATAGTGGAACGAACTGCGTATTTATGCGAATTATTTATTTAACATCCAACACCGAAACAACAACCGTTTTACTTACTGCACACGTTGAGGATGTGCTTTTTTTCTTGAATAGTGCCTTGCGTTGAGTTTTCTCGTCCTGCTGATAGGTTTGGACGTCGTTGGCGGGAATGTGTCTAAAAATAATCCAAATGGCACTCAGGTTTCTCTCAACTGATCAACTGTATTCACCTTATAACCCGCGTAGTCTGCATATTGGGGGCCTGTTTGTGCGGTCTTGGTGTAACTGCTAATATTCCACTGAGAGCTACGCGCCTGAAAGGTCCTCCGTGAGCTCCTTTTACGTACGTCACCAACTGGCGAACGTCGCAGTACAGAGCAATATTTTCCTGTCCTTTTAGATCCTTCAGGGCATCAACGAAGCGGCTGACGAGTGTTTTGAACACGGCAGCAATCACTTGACTTTCGGCACCTCCGCTGAGGCCACTTCCAAAATTGGTGGCGTATCCACCCTGTCCGCCTGATATACCGCCAAAGTCAGGAGTCAGCGTTTTTATGGCAGATGGTCTCTTATGGTCTGAATGTGATAGATGAAACACATATACGTGCAAGCAACTACTTTACAAGCAATAACAGTGTTGGTGGAGGAAGTTGTAGAAGGGGAGTATCACATTGATTTGTAGTAGCTATAAGCATTTGATTATACGTGTGTAGGAGAGATATATTTTTGAGAAGCCAATTCGCGTTGGACCAGAATGAGCGTCCCATTAGCATTCTATCAGCATAGGATTGACGCATGGCTCACGGTGTCTTTGTTAGAATAACGTTAAAACAAAACAAAAATTGCATTTCTCAATCCTTCACCATTCGAAAGGCGGGACTTTTCCCCTTTTGACACCAGGGCTAGTCCACGTCTAATTTCAGATTCTACTTCTCAGAATTCCATAAAACTTTGCAAATTAGTGCTAGAGCTCGGTAATTTTGAACCGCGCATATTTTTTTAAAATGGCGTATTATATATTTCAATAGGACTAAAACGGCGCATCTAATCAAAATGAAGTCTGATACAAAGTTGTAGACAACTGGATTGCCTTTTCAGGAAAAAAAATACACTCTGTAAAAATATCACCAACTTTGGACAAAACATGACAAAATGGTAAAAACTTCAATAGCAATAAAATTGTATTTCTAAGATTTTCAAATCTATGTTTATTTGAAAGCTTATCAAAAATGCAAATTTTTCTGATATTGCACACTATGAAAACTGTTAAAACGACATAAATCGTAGAGCATAAACATGTAGTTAAATATTTTTGTTTGCTATTGAAGTTTTTAACAATGAATCCTGATGAATGTGGACGTCTTAGTGGAATACCTGTATAACTTTGTGTCGAGTATTAGTACAAGACACTGAAGAAGTCTGCACATTGTAGACGAAATACGTGTTTTTGTCAAGGATAAGCAAATAAGGTAGTAGAATTAAATGGAAATTACTAATCCTTCTCTATCTCTTTATATAGTTTATAACAGTTTTTTAAAAAATTTTGACCACAGTCGATTATTTTTTAATTGTTTATTTTTTTTTCTGAAAAGGCTAGCCGCCTACAACTTTGTCTCAGACGTCAACCTTTGAATTATATACGACCGTTGAATCTAACTCATATTTGAGTACCGCTCACTCAACTACACAAAAATCAAGGCCACTCATAGGCTGAGGAAAATTATCCTCGATTTTCCAGGAAATGCTTTTCGAATATGTAGAATATCAAGAGAGGTCTATTAATATACTTCTAAAAAATTTACTCAGGCTATGTGTGACCTACACTGGAAACGAACATACTCAGAGAGTGAGTTGCTTTTTACACATTCGTATGGATAAATTTATAAAAGTATAGGTTACTCATGCGCTGAGTGACCTACACACTTAGATTTTTTTGCCGAGATGGGCACCACCGAGCAGCTCGGTATTTTATTTTGCTGGATCTCAGTGAACAACTTGCCGAGATTCAGCTAACAAATGGGAATTTTACCGAGATCTTAGCTAACATAAATATTGACCCTCTGAAGGCAAAATTTTCTGGTTTTATGTATCATACACAAACTTTACCTTCCTGCATCTTACATATAAAAATTATTATTATAATATCTGATAGTTTCATAATTAATTTCGAAAAGAAGTATTTAAGGTATAATGAGTATGTTCAGGCCTTTTTGGGACATCATTATGTCTTTACTCGCGGTAAATTTAACTATCTGGAAGCAACACTCGATGCTAGTTTAGAAAATCTTTGGTAGGTGAATTTATTGACAATTTTGTGTGACAACGGGAACCCAGGTATATGGACGAGTATCTTTAGGATCAACTTTTGCCGTTTCTAATATTCCACCGCTGGTGGTCCTTCTCTGTTTTTGCCGGATCTCGCGTTCTGTCACTACGTAGAAGTCGTACTGGAGTGTTATGAGAAGAACTATATGTATTTTGTACTGAACGTTGAACGACGAAGGATTGAATTCAAACACTCCAAAATTGAAATCAATCGAAAACATATTTCGCCATTACAAAGCAGGTTCTTCGAAAACTACCAAGGAATTGTCAAACACTAGTTAAGATTTAGACACACTCAAGGGAAGAGATTAGCGGATGGAATAATGAGCAAATGAACTGTCAAAATCAGAGCCAAATGAACATTCTTGCTAAAAATATTCAAAGGACTTTTAATTCAGACTAGATCAAATAAGGGAGCATTGTAATCGAATAGATCAATTCAATTAATGGGGTAAAATTGGTACTTTACGGAGATTGATGTTGTTTACTCGAGCATGAACGAATATCTTGATACCTTTCATTGGTATGGATGAGCCTGACATAAGAGGTAAAATACCAAAAAAATGTTCCCACAGTACCATTCCAATACAAAATAATGATAATGGAATACCAAACAATACCACAAAGGTATTTATTTGGTGTCCAAATATATTTTTTTTTGTTATTTACAAAGTATTTTGCATGCAATTTTTTGGTATTATTCTTTAGTATTTAACCTCTTATGTCATGCTGATCAATATCAAATTTTGGTATCAGATCAAAATTAGTTATTTTCTCCTGCTAGGGTATGGTGGAAATAAGTGTATTTTGAGTATCTAGTTAGATATACCAAATACAGATATTAATTTTGAAATTTAATATTATACATTTGTTGAATTTTCATTTGGGCTGGGGACAAGCGTTGCAAAATTGGCATAAAATTGTAAGATTGGTAAAAGAAATTTTTGAGAAAATGGTACAATAATTTTCTTAATTGTTAGGGAGAACATAAATAAGATCTTATTTTATCGAGGTTCTAGAAAAAAAAAACAAAGTAATTTTCCATGATGAAGTTATAGTGGTAGGAACCGTCATTATAAACTGTTCGAATGAAATGGTCCATTTTTACTATACACGCACATCGATTTGAAACGAAAATTCATGTTAAACTCTACCTCATGGCAAGGATTGCAAGATATTTGGCATATAAAACCCTGTTGCCGAATTGCGTTTTGTTTTCTCTGTCCATCTTTCGCTCTTGGGTATCAAAACACTGAGAGCATGACACAATATAGACAAAACGCTTGCGACGATTTCCATGACAAACTCTCTCTGCGACATAGCTTGATCGGAGCAATGGTGGAAGGAAAAAGATAAAATTGTTTAAAAGTGTTCATATTGCAATACATGTTTGATACATGTAACTCAGTGAGGAAATTGTGATTATGTCATTCCACCGTTCCGATCAAGTTATGTCATCAAACGCATTTGTTGCAAACAATCTTTCAATCAATGTTATCATTGTTGCTTGTCGTTACTGATCACCTGGTTAGTTATTTGGCTCGTATATCGTTTGTCAGTTTGTCATTACAAAGACATTTTTGATTCCTTGGACATGGATTTTAGGTAAAATCGAGGTACAATGAAATAAATTACACCGAAGTTTTTTTTTAAACGTTTTTGTTTTGCACGGTTTTCTTACGATGAGTTTCGAAACAACGTAGTTTTTTTTTACGAAGATTTTTGAAATAACGCGGTCAGGAGCCGAACAATTATTTTCTGTGGAAAGGGTTTAGTCAAAAAAAAAAACAAATTTCAGCACTACGGCTAAGTTGAGCGGACATATTTGGTGAGCCATTTAGAAGGTTACTGTCCTCGGTAAAGTTGATCAGGAAGTCAATACCTTGCAGATGGCGGGCAATAAATGTCATATTTTCGTTTACGAAGATTTTGGAAAAATCATGATTGTTTTTTGCGATGATTTTTTAAATAACACGGTTGTTTATGACGGTTTTTCAAATACGTGGTCTTTTTACACGTTTTTTACACGGTAAGAATATCGCGCGTAGGAAATATTTGAGGGTATACAAAATTTACCAATTATGATTTTCTTCACTTCCAAAATGTTTCAAAAATATTGAATTTTTGGATTTTGGTGAATAATTTTCAGAAACCCATTTCTATCGGGACACCCTTTACAACTGGATACTTGGCAACGTGGACAGCCTTATTAAGTTTATTTGGTTTAATTTTTAATTGTTCGCAACAATGATATTATATTCTTTATTTTACTTCTTCTAGAAATCACAATTACATGATGGTACATAGAGTGGCAACTGAAATTTATTTATAAATATGATAGCTGATTTACTCAATAAAAGGAAATAATTAATTTTAACATATAGTTTAAACAATTTCTTTTCAATGGAAAATGGGCACTTCGATTTTAGACTAAGAGCAAATAAGTTTACGGTACCACCCTAATCAAGGCTAAATCAAGGTTTCAATCGATCACATACGGACTGATGTTTGTAAATCTATGGTTTTTGACAAATGTTGTGACATCCGCCTTGCGTGTTCCGTAGGCAGTGGTATCGTAAAGGATAATTGTTTCTTAATTGCAGCATTTATGATTTTATTTAAATTAAGAAAATGAGGTGTAATGAAAGTCATTTCGATCCTGAAATGCTATTCAGATTGTTAATACATGCTCCTTAATGGTCCAAATCAATACAATTTACGTTTCAATACAATTATTTTGGTCATATTTTGATGTAGAGGAAAAGAGTTGCTACTAATTGAAAAGATAGATTCGCTTACACAGACAAACAGTTTAATGCTTACTATCTACGATTAATGAACATCGATGAACACAAGTACCGAAATATTGCAGCCTAATTGAGCCAGTGTGTGTGCGTGGCATTTTCTTATTTAATCTAGCTTCAGTTCACTTCCAACATTCGATTTTGAAAGACGCAGTCGTCTGACTAATGATTTATGAATTATGCAAATCCGGATATTGTATTTGAAATAAAAGGACTATCCATCAACCACGTGAACAATTTGGGCATAAAAGTAGGAAAAAGGCTCCACACAATTCTTCGATGACATATAGTGATGTAAAAATAGTCCCCACAAATATTAAAGGCAGGGTAAATTTATTCAAAAATTGTCACAATGGTTTATGGACAGTCCCAACTGCAAACCTTCATAATGACTGATTTTCCAATTGGACATGAGTTAAGGGAAACCGATAATGTAATTACACATCAATCAGTAGAGAAAAAGCATTCTCCTTTTCACCGTGCACGATAAATTTTCCTCAATGGAATGGTTTTGGATTTACGGGGTAAATTAGCACATTGACGAACGCAATGGGGGAAAAAGGAAAAGGATAATCATACTAATAAAATTTCGTTCCATGGTTAGAGTTCAACTTGAAGAAAAATAATCAACAACGAAATACAAATACGAGCAAAGAAGTTCACGTGTTTGTTGCTTTCCATACCCTAGAATAGAACGAGTGTACGTTGACCTCTACAAGCGAATCATGCTGCTGTATACAACGAAAGAAAACTGAACTCAGCCTCGACAAGTCAACTAATTTTGGTGAAAGACAGAAGCTGGATTACAAATTATTTTTTTCACATTCGGTTTTCATATAACAACACAACTCTTTTGAAAACGAATGGTTGCAAAACTCGGGTGATGAACCAATATGGACCCTGAACAGTTTGTGACTCCGACGGTTTCGTTAAAAATACTATTGGCTAGAAAAATACTTACTGAGTGGTGACAGCAATGAGCTAGGATCCACACAGAACCCTACGAAGGCATGGAAGAATTCGATGAGCTCGTGCAGTTGTGTCGATCTTATCATATTACGGAGATAAGCTTTGGACAGTTTAGAGGCTTGGCGTAACAGTCGCGAAAGAATAGAATGACAAGTGGTTCGAAGCACCTCAGCAGGTGGCACGCGGCTGCCTATAGGTTGAAATATGTTTCTTATTCATGCGATTGTCGGTAGTGGAATGCTTCATACTTACCATCATTGCAACCATGGGGACAACCTAGATGCAAAAGAGCTCGCTTCACTATTCCCATTGCCAGCGTGTGGGCATGTTCACTTAGCTTCAATACACCCAGATCAAGCAAAAGTTCACATATATTCAAACCTGTTTCAAGCACTCTTAAAGTGCAAATGTTTGAATCACGCTTGAATACACACTGCACTGCTAGGAGGACTATTTCGTAATCGATTCCTCCTTCCTTGGTAATGTAGAAGCTCGACCCTGGTGCTTCGGTTTCATCAGCTCCACTATTGTAACCTGATGAGAAATATGTTGTTCTTCGGTTCATCTTTCATTACATGAAGACATCTGACATATGTTTACCTATATGTGAATCCGTCTGAGATCTCAACATTTGACTCTTGAATACTCCTGTGCTGCCTCCGATACTCAATGCGTCAAGTTGAGAGTCAATGGATCCCTGAGAGTAGAACTTCAGTTGAATATCAAATATCAAAAAGTACGACGAAAAGTTTAAGCCCCCGGGATTCCAAGCTTAGTATGGTTGCACGCTTATTTGTTTCATGGTAAAGATGATGCATTACATCTTGGAGAATAATTTGGATGCGTTCTCGGTTAATTTTCTTTACAAAAAAAAAAAAAAAAAAACAAAAAAAAAAACCAGTGCTTGGAATGGAGTCCAAGGGGCATAAACCATTCGTATAAATAAATAATGGCTGAATCATTGTTTGAACGAAATTAGGTATTGAGATTGTCATCAATTTAATTCCACTTTTTGCCATTTTTTATTAAAACAACCTTTAGTAAAATTGTGGCTTTAAACATTTCTTTGAAGCACGACAGCACCGATGATTTTATTCAAATTGTGTTTGAAAAAGTTATAGAGAATCAATTAGGACATAAAAGCCAAAAAACTTTCCAGGAGATATTTCCTGCAGAGCTGAGTCTTGACGTGTACATAGGTGTATGAGGAGTAAATGTATATGGGCGTGGAGGAGGAACTTCTACCCATGCTTCATTTTCTCAACCAGAAGCGGAACATATTTTATGAGGGGTTCTGAAATAAATGTGTAGTAGGACAAAATCATCAAAGAGCTATCCATTAGGCTGATGCAAAATTTGAAATTTTCGCTTCACAGTGCTTAAACGGTTCCAAATTGGGTCCTGCTTAGCCTCCCAAAATTTGAACTTCTATAGTAAGAAACTGATTTGGCACAAACCATTTCAAGTTTATATGGGAATAACTATGGGAAAAGTTCATATCTTGTGTAATATCTCTTAAACAATTAATAACAATTTAATTTGACATTGCTGAAAAACAATATTCGGCAAAGTTGTAGCTTAGAAAATTTCCCGTAAGAATAGTTATAGAAATTTTCGAAAAAGCAATATGGAAAATGGGTAATGGGTACAATGAACAAAAAGTTTGGTTTTCCCATAGTAATTTCCATACAAACTTCGAATAGTTTGTGCCAAGTCAGTTTCTTACCAAATGAGATTAAATTTTGGAAGGCTAATCAGGACCTGATTTTAAACCAGTTGAGCACAGTGGAGCGAAAATTTCAAATTTTGCATCAGTCTACTGTCCATATACCAACGTGCACAATTTAGTGGGTAACCGTTATATGGAACATCACTTACTTGGCCTCATCAAGCAACCCTTTTTTGGTTTCATTTGGAGCCCCAAACAATTGTGCAAAATTTGGAGACGATCGGTTGTAGCCCGGCTTTCCGCATTGCGTTTGAAATTTGTATGGGAAAACCTACTTTTTTGAATTTCCATCCCATGCAACAAACCATGTACAAATACAGTCCTAACAACTTTGCCAAATGAAGTACGGTGTTAGAATGTCTCTAAACAAAGTTATAACTGTTAAAATATTTATGTTTTATTTAAATGCAAAACATAGCTTTTTCTGTCCACACTGTCGCTGTACCAATGGAAATCAGATTCTAAACTGAAATAATTTCAAAGTTTCTTATCTTATCGCTGGTATGTTCAGATGGATTATTCAAAAAAGAATTCCTTTATCTCATATTGGTGAATAATTCATCTAATCACACCAAATCGATAAGATAAGAAACTCCAAAGTTATTGAAGTTCCATATGATGATGACGTGTCACCCATAATCATATGTGAACATTTGAGGCCTACATGATGTTGCGGGGCCTCCCTTAGCTAAGTCGGTTAAGGCGCAGCTACAATGCAAGACCATGCTGGCTGGGTTCGATTCCCGGTTCGGCCTAGGAATTTTTCGGGCTGGAAAATTTCTCGACTTCCCTGGACATAAGAGTATGATTGCACAGCAAAAAAATATTTTTAATATCACATCAAAGTGGATGCACTTCAATCGTGTCGAAAATCTCATGTAATTTTTATAGTCACACAAATAAACAAATTGGATGTAATATTTAAATTTATTTTTTGCTGTGTGTGCTTGCCACACAATTATACTAATGCAAAAATGGTACAGATATCGAAAGCTCTCAATTAATAACTGTGGAAGTGCATCTAGAACACTAATTTGAGAGCACGCAATAAGCGAATACCCATAAGCTTGAAATGCGAAGAAGATCGCTTAAAAGATGTGCCGTAAAACTCGATCCTGATTGTAAATCATGATTGAACCTTCCGTGGTTTTCTTTGTCATCATTGTGATAATTTGATTTTGTGCGGCAGTCGTCGCACAATCGCTAGTGAGATAGAAGTGGGTCGACACTGCGAATAAAAATGGTTTTCAAGGTAACATACGACTTATGCTTAATGCGGGACATTCCATGTGATTAACGTCATCATGTCACTGGGGATGAACAATCGTCGTTGGTAATGGTTTGTTGAAATGGAAGAACCTCGGTTCTCTAGTCCAACCGTTTTTGCTTACTGAGAAGAAGACCGTGGGTTTACCAAATACATGACTGAGTTGATAGGTTCACGTTCAAGTCAATTTCGAAAATAATACATTATATCAAAACAATGATCATATTACTAATCAAGGTGAATCCTGATCCAACGCACCCAACCTCCTAACAAAATCTCCTCTCCTGTAACCTATGTAGAGACGCAGAGTTAAACACGGTCCTCAAAACAACAAAGGTCACTCCCACCTGATTGCAAGGATTTGGCTGGTGCCGTTATTGATCTTTAAAATATGAATGACTTGTCGTTTACGTGAAATCAACGATGGAAGTGCAAAGTGTCTTGTGTTGTTTTCAAAATGTTGTAATAAAAACAAAAAAATATTATTCTACTGTGTTTGTTAGAAGTTATAAAACTAACGTGCAGTCATTAAACTTATCTAATACCGGTATTGTTCAAACAATCGATTCAATGCCTTGTTCAAACTGCTGAGTTACAACATATTACCAGAGTCTAACGTCTACTTTGCTACATCATAAATATGTATGTTGATTCAGAACGATACTTAAAAACTTTGATAAAATTTTGAACATGGTAGGCAGTGAAAATCATTATTTTGAAGTTTCTGGATTTATGGACTAAGTGTCCGGATTTCGAGTCTATACAGTATAAAAATTATTGACATGAAAAATGTCATCAAAAAAGCCTTATAACCCAGTCTGAACATAGCATTAGAAAATATTACCAAATTTGGTTACATTTACTGAACTTTCACCAGTGAGCAGTGCGGTAAAGTTAAGTGATTTATTTGTTTTATAGATTTTAAACCATACATACTCCATCAAGGATATTTTAATAAGGCTGAAAGCTTTACGATGATATTCTTGAGTATGTTAGGTTTAAAACTGAGGGTCTAAATTTTACCAAACGTTCAGCTGTTGGACTTTTATCGAATTATTTTTTTTCAAATGTAACGCTTAATGCTTGATTACCATGAGTGCTATACTAACCTGACGTTTGAGATAATCGGGTGATGGAGTTGGAGTATGCTCAGTGACTGTGATGATTGGATACCGTGACGGTGGTTGCACTGGACGTTGATTGGTCGGTGGCTGTGGATTTCTTATAACCTTGGGTGGTTCAACATACCTGTGGAATCTTTCAACATATGGATCATTGAAATTGATTGCTAGCATGGGGTAGTACAGAAAGGATTGGAATGATATTGTTTTGGCATACATTGGAGTTCATTTGGGGTGTTATGAATAGTTCGAATTATAGGGTAAATCCATCAATTTGTTTTCAATTGAAAGGATAAGGACAGTTTTTATTAGCGTGGTGGGGGCTGATGACAAATGGTGCAAGAAGGGAACTGAGGTAAGGGGAAACTGCAGAAACTTACCCGCTATCTAGAAGACAGCTGGTAGATTTGTATCATATCAAAGATATTTTATAGATATAGTTGAGTTGAAACCGTGAGAATTGATATGGATAGAATGTGTAGTTTACAGTTGAAAAAGATACAATAGTGAAAAAATAACGCGTAAGGCGTGTAAGTATTAATTGACTCTAATGTACAGCAGGAATACAGTTAATGCGGATATGAAGCTTACCTAAGGCTTGGCATGCTTTTTCCTTTAACGAGATTCGTTGATGGAGAGCGGGAAATCATGGACGATGAACGGGATAGGTGCCTTTCACCTGTATCCAAGCTACGATGAGAATCCTGTACGAAGATTTATTGTAATAGTCTTTCAAAAGCATTGATGATCATCCCTTTCCCTTACCAAATGTTGCAGTCGTTTTCCATTGCCAACATCTAGTCCAATTTTTTCGAGACCTCGGTCGGATTTTGATAGAATGCGGGTTTCAATAAGTGTTCTCAAGTCGGCCATTTTTACGCGTCGTTTTTTCTCGCTACCTTTTCGTTCGGCAGTTGGTGTACTTTGTTCGTCATTGGACGGCTTTGTGTCATGATAGGGTGACTCGATCAGCAGTGAACTGATCGGTGGTTCTGGTACCTCTATGTAATCTTTGTTGATCGATCCCATGCTGGGGCTATCGCGGTTGCTACTGGTTGGCCCTTGGTACAGTGAAATTTCTATCTGTGGGATCGGCAGTGAGTTTGAACGTCGTCTTGGCTGCAAAGGAGGTATCGATGTTTCTTCGCTGATATCTCGTAGTCTTTGAAAAATGAAATCAAAGGTGTATTTTATTTATGAAAACCATCATATTATTAACCTGTTATTCAGATAGTGTAAACTCCAGTACACCCCATCTTCCTGCCAGTGTGATATGAACAAGCATCGCAGTACTGCAACATCGAGAAATGTAGCAGCTGCAATGTCACCTTTGGCACACTGGGGTGATTTGGGATCCGTGTCCAGTGATTCTCTTTCAGTCGATGAGCTTGTTTTAGGTTTAGAATCGTCTCCTCCCCTCTATATTTTCAAAAATAAATTAAATAACGTTTTAAAAAATCCATTTTTTTTATTTGATTCGATCACAATGCTATTTGCGATAATATCTTTCAACGGTTCGGAAATACAAAACATGTTTGTGTCTGTGATTGAAAACTATTGTTTCTAATGTCTGGCCTCGTAACGTGGGTAGATCACCTTTTCGTGGTACGTTACGGGATGTAAGATCTACCACCGATTCCTAGTCCTGACTACTTCAAACTAGGGGAACAGGATTTTTCAGTAATCCAAGGAACACCTTTTAGTGCTTGTTACTGTTTATGCCTTGTGGCTAGTGACAAGACTCGGCATTGTCCACCGAGGATGATCTTGAAACAAGGAAAAAATGAGTTCTTCATCTACCTATGTGATTGCTAATCTTCTATTTGTTGTTCCCTACACAGCAAAAAATAATTTTGATATCACGTCAAAGTGGATGCACTACAATCATGTCGAAAATATGGTGTAATATTACTTGCTAAAAAGGACAAAATTATCATTAATACAATGCATGAACTGACATTACGCTGCTTTTACTGCATTTGTTTATTTATGTGGTCATAAAAATTACATGAAATTTTCGACATGATTGTAGTGCATCCACTTTGATGGGATATCAAAATTATTTTTTTGCTGTGTAGTTTGAAGTGGTTAAGATTAGGGTTCTGATGCATGGTCCTTATCAATGTCATTCCTTAATTTTATTGCTAAGGAATCCAATTTTGACTGAAAAAGGGGTGCGCCTTTGGAGGGTGTTTCAACACTCCGAAGGGTATACATAGCGGGACCTTTCAATTAGAGTCGGATCCTTGCGATAAATGCGAGAATGACAACTGTAAAAAAATCGAATAGTTCATCATTTCTCAATAGTGATGGAGTAATACGACATGCACTAAACTAAGGACATGGGATATACTACAATAGATCAAATTACTGGTCGCAGTGGTGTTAGGTCACGAGAAAAAAAATCTGGCATTATGAATAAAATCATCCTAACATCTATGTTGATACCTGTAAGAAGTTTTAATCCGGGACTTTGAAGATGCTATCTCTACCTCAGTTCGTCAATGATATACCTATAATGTACTGACACTTGAATTTAAGTAGTAGTGCAACATTTGACTGATGCTAGTTTAATGAGATTATATTGTCAAAAGTACAAATTCAATTATATATCATACTAGCTGAGTGTGCCCGGTCTTGCTCGGGATTCAATATTAGCTTGAGTTTATGCGCCTATTTAAAAAAAAGCATGCTATATTGTACGTAGCCCCCCCCCCCTCTATTATCTAAGGGGCTACCCCCTATGATTATCTCCTTATACCCCCACACTCGCCCCCACATGCCTAATTTGGTTCCATTTGCTTGATTAGTTCTCGAGTTATGCAGAAATTTCTGATTCATTTGTATGGGAGCCCCCCCCTTACAGAAGGGGGAGGGGTCTCGAACCATCATAAGAACCTTCCACGGCCCCAAAAACCCCTGTATACAAATTTTCACGCCAATCGGTTCAGTAGTTTCCGAGTCTATAAGGGTCAGACAGACAGACAGACAGACAGACAGACAGACAGACCGACAGACAGACAGAAATTCATTTTTATATATATAAATTAACCCTTAAGGTGCCTTTAGTTCCAATACAATGGAACCTGTTAAGAGATGAACTAGCCTAAGGCCAAAAATCCCTAAAAAAAAAAAATAAAAAATAAATGGAACCTGTGTTTATTTGAAGATGATCGGTATCTGGCTTTGTACAGAAAGTTTTTTTTTAGATTTATTACAGTTGTAGGAAAGAGGAAACATGGTCGCTTGTTGCAAATAGCATCGTGTGTCCCTATCAGGGTTACTAATGACTAGCGTCCGTTAACGTCTTCAATGCGAATTCGCATTGAAGACGTTAATGATTAACAACCCTGGTCACTGCACAGCACGTCTCAAGCGCTTCAAATTATTCGATACTTACACTGTAGGTATCAATCCGGTCAAAGTCGAATTTGGTCGCTATTTTATCTGGTCGTTCTCTTCCACCCATGGGAATCTGTTTGCTTCCCTTTCGGCTGGTAGATTGATGCAAAAGGCTAGCATCGGCGGTGTAGAATGAAGAGTCTGCTAAATTGCCACCAACGGGTAGTTGGAAAATTACAACCCGCTCCTCCTCTACACTGGATGCTTCCTCGGGGATCGTTTCGGGAAACACGGAATCCTTCGGTGACGAAATATACGACATCTCGTCATCGTGCTTCAGAGTTTCCGAAAACGAGATGCTGGGAGGAGAGTCGATGCCATGGTGCATAGTTTCGGGTTTCTCTGTTAAATAGTTTATATGTATTACATCCTTTTGGTCTGGTAAATGGATTGCAGATGGTTTTTACTTGGGGAAAATACTTCCACCGACGGTGTTGTGCTCACGGAGTTTAGGAAATTTCGAGCCTTGGGTTTTACGGGCGCTGTAAAACATGGTGCATTTGGAGCACGATATTCCCACATTCCTTGCCACATTTTCAAACCATTTTCAAGGCGAATGTTCTGAAAGTCTGATTCCTTCAACATATGAGCGATAGGTGCAAACAGATAGATGAATAGCTGTAAAATACCACAAAGCCTGTATTCAAACCTGCTACTAACTAATTTCCGTAAAATTTATAGGAATTTATAATTGACAAGTTAAAGAATTCCAAAGGATCGCGTCCAATTGTTTCGTGGCCAAACGTGGAATTCTGGCACTGAATAATTCTTACCGAAATAGTTGGGATAGAGAATAGATAGCTTTGTTTGCTTTTGACCTCCTTGTTTGCTTCCAAATCGTCGTCGGCACATTCCTCGGCTGCGAATAGTAAAATCCAATGAAGCGTATAAAGGATTTTCGTTTCGGCTGCTCCTAGCGGTTGTAAGTCCTTAACTCTGAAACAGTATAAATATTGTCAAACATTCTGATAACAGTTTCGAAAGGTTTGCACTCAATTATTACCGATTATGCATGAGCGCACCGGCACAGTGCATGACGTGAGGCAAAGCGGCCTGAACCAGTCTCCATCGGGGAATTGATTTCAGTGCGGATTCAAGCGATGGAGACAGCCCATAGAACATGTTTTGCACCAGTGACTTTTCGAACGACTATATTTTTGGATGTGATGGATTGGCCAGCAACAGCGAACAGAGCGGAAATAAATTAAAGATTCATAATTTCTCTCGCTTTAGCACCACATAATCGAATAAGCTAGCATACCTTGCAGGCCTCTTTTAGTTCCTGTGGATGATGTTCCAGAAGGGGCAGGGCGCAAACGGCGGTCGTCATGGGATTCATGGAATTCATTGTTGTCAGGGACGATGACGATAAAACGAGGTTAAAAATAAACCGTTCATGATTATTGAGTTAAAAAGTAGATGATCAACAGGATAGCTAGCAGATTGTGAGCACTTTATCAATACTTAATATCCCAAAAGCAGAAACGAGTGAAAACAAAGCTGACAAAAATCGAACAGTTGGTGTACATTTAATACAAATCAGACAATGATATGCTTGTAAATATTGAAAATCATATCATAATCGAAATTATATTATTAACGTCAATCAAATGCTGTTATCCTAAATCCTATTTTCTACGGAACAAGCATTCTATAGATTGCCGAGGGCATAATTCGATACAAGCACCAAATTCTGAATAGTATTTAAGTATGGAAAGTTTAATGATTGTTCAATCTAAGTTTTTAATTTTTTATGGCAATTATTTCATAAGTATTAGAAAAAACAAAACAAAATGAATATTATTTTATAAATAATATTTCGCCCTCACTTTGCTTAGTCAAGCATGGCTCGATTTTCAGTCTTGATGAAATTTAGCTTATTTCTTGATTTCCCTGGGCGTAGAGTATGCTTGCCATATATGTATGCAAGAAATTAGCATGAGAATCGCAAAAAAAAACAACAAGCGTTGAATTCTCCATTTATAAGGACTTTGGTGGATATTCTTCTTTATGCTTTTTTACACTTAATCATTTTTTACATATTTACACTAATTTACACTACGGAGGCGAACCAGCTTCAGGCTGAAAGCCTTCCTAATAAAGAAAACTTAACTTAATTTACACTAATGATTTATAGGTTTCAGTTTCAAAAGAGTTATAAAAATTGCAACAAGCTGTCAATTTAGATTATTTCAAATATTAAAACTTCGAGCTCCTATATTAACCCGTTAAAGCGCAGAACAAAATTTTTGTTTTAAATTGTTGTATTTAAGAGATGTCATGGCTGATTTAAATGTATTTTTTTTACATCATTGCGGTAAGTGATTCTTACAATTGGGGGTACTCCTTGTCTGGCCCCACCCTCTTTTTATATAGTAAATAATGCGTGGACACGGGGGTGATTTTTAATCTTCATCGCATATTTTGCCTCACAACTCATGTGACAACATATTGATTTTTTTTCGTGGGAATTATAATAGATATTGTTTTTTTTTTGGAAAACGGTCGATCAAAAAGAGAGGGATATTCGAACATTTTAATTTATTTTTAAAGTGTCGAATTAAAATTATTCGTTGTAAGCTTTGCATACGACAGTTTTGTATTGTGTCTGTATTTCCGATGGAGAAAATGGTAAAAATACTTTTGAATATAAAAACCAATAAATAATCCATAACAAATTTAAAAACGCTCATTAAAAAACACCCAAATAATGCATAAGACCCCAGTGAAAATCCCTTAAAATGTGTGAATGATCCATAGAAAATATCAATATGATCCATATTTTCAGTAAAATTTAGCAACACAATTGTAAAAATGTACCACTAAATATCTAATGAATGAGCGAAATTGTAAGAATTACCCATACACATATTGCAAATGATCCATAAAACATTCAGCAAACAACCTTAAACTAATGAAAGTGATCCATAGAAAATCATGTTTGCGCTCTTAAAAATATAGGCATAATCCATGAATTAGACATATACTGTTCATGTTTTGGACACTCACTTTTTGATTTTGTTCCTTCTACCTTTAAAAGATATTCCATTACTACGTAGCTACTTGGATTTACTGACATACCCGTGTTTTTTGAGTTGGAAGTGTGAAGCGACGGGTAAGCGTCTAGAACTAGCTTCCATAAAAATTAAATAATAATCTTCTTAACACTCTGAACATGATGCTTCTGGTCAAATGTGTAACGGCAAAATTGTAATGTTTGAAAAATCATTGCTCAGCTATTTATTGATGAACTTCAAATCTATGGCGCTACTTGAAACTCAATACTTTAAAGTTTTATTCGGTATGGATAGGTTTAAAATCTATTGATAAATTGCTGAGTAATCATTTTTCAAACATTATCAATTTGCCGTTACACATTTTAACGGTTGCATCGTGTTCGGAGTGTTAAGAAGCATCCTAGGGAATATTTTTTAGAAGCTTCTTCTAGATGCTTATTCTAGATGCTCGCCCATCCCTCTGCTTTTTTGACAAAAAACACGGGCAGAACAGTAAATCAGAGTAGCTACGCAGTAATGGGGCAATTTTCCAAGGTTTGAATCATTTGTAATATGTTTAAGGGTAATTCGCGCAATTTCAATGCTCATTCTTTAGAAATTTAGCGGTACATTGCTAAATTTTACATAAATTATGGAGCATATTGATATTTTTTATCGATCACTCACACTTTTTAACAGATTTCTTGCGGTGTTTTATGGATCATTTGGATGTTTTTTAAAGAACGTTTTTCAATATTTCATGGATCGTTTTATCAATTCTAAAGGTGAAAATCACATTTCCAATTGTTTCTACTACGCACATCATGCAATTGATTCAGTTCGTTCTTACCCGAGCAGAAGAAAATAAATTATGAATATCTAATAGACCTGATATCAACATATGGATGGTCCCACCTCTTAGGCCTACAAAGGTGTGAGCTGGACGATTTATCTATAAGATAATTAAATATGACAATTTAACCAGGTTTGCAAAAAAATCGAACTGGTTACAGTTACAGATATAAATTCCCTCTAGAGTTTACAGTTGCTTCACAGCGATAAAATATTCATAAGTATTACAAGCGATCAAGAGTTCATGAACAATCAACAAAGCATCCTATACACTAGCAACCCCGTAATCTGATGCTATCATAATTTTCAGCTATGTCAGGAATGCTCATGAACTCCCGACATTTGCCAGAAAACTTACTACTAACTCAAGGTATCTTCCAAATAAGTTGCAATTTTGTTTATCAAATGTTAAATTCAGTCTTCTATATTTGCAATACGCGCGCGCAAACCTTTGTAGACTACTCAAGAACATTTTTTAACTGTAAATATTAAATCACACATTAAAAATCCATCGTTACCATCGGGGTGAATAAAATAGTTTTTGCAGTGCTACAATAATTAAAAAAAAAAAGTCGTACAGCTGTCATATACAAAATAATCCCTTAGAGATAATTTCGTCAAGATACCTAATTTGTCAAGTCATAAAAAATCACTGGATAAGTGGATCAAAACACAATTTTAACGTGTGAAATGCAATGATTCTTAAATTCTGCTAGTGTTGCTAAACGTTTGATATGTCTAGGCCTCGAATTGAAAATATTTATTCCTTTATAATACAATGAATTTTGTGGAGCACAAGTCAAGTGTTCTTATTTCATCCACGTTTCTAGTACACTGGAGTCGCTTTTTACGCGGGTGATACGTCCCGCGTAAAAAAAACCGCGTAATAAAAAACCGCGTAAATTTCGGAATCCGCGTAAAAAAAAACCGCGTAAATTCCGAAATCCGCGTAAAAAAAACCACGTAAAAAAAACCGCGTAAAAAAAGACCGTGTGAAAAAAAACCGCGTAAAAAGCGACTCTAGTGTATAACGATAAACCGCGTAAATTCTAAAATCCGCGTAAAAAAAAACCAAAATCCGCGTAAAAAAACCGCGTAAATTCCGAAATCCGCGTAAAAAACACCATGTAAATTCCGTAATCCGCGTAAAAAAAACCGCGTAAAAAAACCGTGTAAAAAAACCGCGTAAAAAGCGACTCCAGTGTATTATAAATCACTTCCTCTTTCAATTCGATCACACAACACAAATATCGAGGTAGCAAACCGCTAACTACTTTAAAAATGAACACCCTAGCGTCTCGAGCCGAGAACGTCCCATGGCGGCCGGGACGCCGCTTCGAACAATGGTCTATAGAAACTTTTCTTGTGCGTGGATAGATAAACCCTTTTAACACAATATAGTAGACACTTAGGGTAGGTGTTCCAGTAATAGTGGTGTACCTATAGTTGCGGTATGGAGGTTGTGCCGGAATAGTGAAGAGGACTCGGATAAGATTATTTTTCATCGGTAGCTGTTCTAAAATAAAGCAAATTTGCATATTTCGAACATAAAAATAACCCAAAAATTACGGAAAATCATTAATTTTCCTTAAGATTTTCACTCCGTTGCACCTTTAGTTGCGGTAGTGTTCCTATAATAGTGGAACTCATAAGAAACCAACGCATTCCACTATTATAGGAACCAAAGTTAGCAACTACCACAACTACTGGAACGGTGTTCCTATTAATGGAGGATGAGTTTTCAAAAAATTGCATGCAATTTTATTACAGTATAATATTTTTCTATCAAAATAGAGGTTGAAAGCTATAGATTGACGTATAACAATTGTGTGTACATCGTTTATTTATTGTTTAATTAATAAATTGGCTTAGTACCTCCACTACTGGCCCACCCACCCTCTACTTTTGCAATAACAAAAAAAAAAACGATTTATTTTTTATTTTTAATGAGAACCTCCCCTTAAGGTATCGAGATATTCGTTCCCGATCATCTCGATACCTTAAATTGGTATGGATGAGCCTGACATAAGAGGTAAAATACCAAAAAATAATACCAAAAATATGTTTCCTCAATACTATTCCAATACCAAATTATAATAATGCAATACCAAAACTATACCACCCAGGTATTCTTTCGGTATCCAAATATCAATTTTTGGTATTTGCAAAGTATTTTCCATGTAATTTTTTGGTATTAATCTTTGGTATTTTAACTCTTATTCATGCTGGTCAATACCAAATTTTGGTATGAGATCAGAATTAGATATTCATTAGCGTACGGACGGACATGCGAAGAGCGGCAGTATAGTTCATTTTACGCGATGACAGCAGCCATTTTGCCTGACATAACAGATAATATTGTTGTTAATTTCTTAAGCGGGTAGGTAACTGTAAAAGTTCATTAATTAATTGAAACATCAGTTCATCAGAAACA